TTTTCCTTCTGGGACCTTTAATATGCAAATGTTAATATGCTTGATGTTGTCCCAGAGGTATCTTAAACTATCCTAATTAAAAAATTCTTTTTCTTCTTTTTTGTTCTGTTCAGCTTGGGTTATTCCCACTACTCTTACTTCCAGTTTGCTGATCCATTCCTCTGTATAATCTAATCTACTGTTGATTTCTTCTAGTGTATTTTTTATTTCAGTTACTGTGTTCCTCAGCACTGTTTGGTTCTTCTTTATATTTTCTAACTCTTTGTTAAAATTCTCACTGTGTTCACTCATTCTTCTCCAGATTATTATTTTTTTAAAATATTTATTTATTTGGCTGTGCCAGGACTTAGTTACAGCATGTGGGATCTTTGTTGCCAAATGGGGAATCTTTAGTTGCAGCATGTGGGATCTTTTAGTTGTGGCATGCAGACTCTTAGTTGCGGCATGCAGGATCTAGTTCCTCAACCAGGGATCGAACCCGGGCCCCCTGCACTGGGAATGAAGAGTCTTAACTGCTGGATCACCAGGGAAGTCCTCCAGAGTTTGTTGATCATCTTTATGATCATTACCTTGAAATCTTTATTGGGATTGCTTATTTCCACTTTGCTTATTTATTCTTCTAGGTTGTTTTTTTTTAAAAATAAATTTATTTATTTATTTTTAGCTGTGTTGGGTCTTTGTTTCTGTGCGAGGGCTTTCTCTAGTTGCGGAGAGCAGGGGCCACTCTTCATTGCAGTGTGCAGGGCCTTTCACTATAGTGGCCTCTCTTGTTGCAGAGCACAGGCTCCAGACGCACAGGCTCAGTAGTTGTGGCTAACGGGCCTAGTTGCTCCGCGGCATGTGGGATCTTCCCAGACCAGGGCTCGAACCCATGTCCCCTGCATTGGCAGGCAGATTTTCAACCACTGCACCACCAGGGAAGCCCCCTTTTCTTTAATTTTTAAAAATTTTATTTATTTTTAATTTAATTTTTAATTTTTAAATTTTTAATATTTTTTATTGGAGTATAGTTGCTTTACAATGTTGTGTTAGTTTCTGCTGTATAGCAAAGTGAATCAGCTATACATATACATATAGCCCTTCTTTTTTGGATTTCCTTCCCATTTAAGTCACCACGGAGCACCAAGTAGAGTTCCCTGTGCTATACAGTTGGTTCTCATTAGTTATCTATTTTATACATAGTAGTGTATATATGTTAATCTCAATCTCCCAATCCATCCCACCCTCCATTCCCCCCCTTCTCCCGCTTGGTATCCATACATTTGTTCTCTATGTCTGTGTCTCTATTTCTGCTTTGCAAATAAGTTCATCTATACCATTTTTCTAGATCCCACATATATGCGTTAATATATATTTGTTTTTCTCTTTCTGACTTAACTTCACTCTGTATGACAGTCTCTAGGTCCATCCATGTCTCTGCAAATGGCACAATTTCATTCCTTTGTATGGCAGAGTAATATTCCATTGTATATATGTACCACATCTTCTTTATCCATTCCTTTGTTGATGTACATTTAAGTTGCTTCCATGTCCTGGCTATTGTTGAATATTGTAACTAGTGCTGCAATGAACATCGGGTGCATGTATCTTTTTGAATTATGGTTTTCTCAGGGTATATGCCCAGGAGTGGGATTGCTGGGTCGTATGGTAGTTCTATTTTTAGTTTCTTGAGGAACCTCCATACTGTTCTCCATAGAGGCTGTATCAATTTACATTCCCACCAACAGTATAGGAGGGTTCCCTTTTCTCCACACCCTCTCCAGCATTTATTGTTTATAGATTTTTTTTTTTTTGGCAGTACGGAGGCCTCTCACTGCTGCGGCCTCTCCCGTTGTGGAGCACAGGCTCCGGACACACAGGCCCAGCGGCCATGGCTCACGGGCCCAGCCACTCCGCGGCATGTGGGATCTTCCCGGACCGGGGCATGAACCCGTGTCCCCTGCATCGGCAGGCGGACTCTCAACCACTGCACCACCAGGGAAGCCCAATGCTGAAGTTTTATTTGACCACCCAGAAAGTGTGATTTGGGGCTACAGGCCTAGTTTTGAGATTGTAACTTCTCAGGAAAGATACTACCTTGCCTCTCCACTCAGAAATAAAACCAAAACCAAAAAGGTTTGCTTGTAGTCCCTGGCGAGGGTGTGTAGTAGGCTGAATAATGACCCTCAAAAGTACCAGGTCCTAGTCTCTGGCATCTGTGAATGTGACCTTATTTGGGAAAAGGGTCTTTGCAGATGTGATTAAATTAAGGATCTTGAGTTGGGTAAGTGATCCCGGATAATTATCTGTGGGGGCCTTAAATGCAGTCACAAGTGTCTCTATCAGAGAGAGGCAGAGGGAGACACACATACAGAGGAAGAGCAGGTGATATGATTATGGGGCAGAGATCGGAGTGATGCTGCCGCAAGCCAAGGAATGCCGGCATTTGGATGAGGCAGGAACAGGTTGTCCCCTAGAAACTCTGAAGACTTTTTCGACACATTAAATTCAGCCTAATGATACTGATTTTGGACTTCTGAAGTCCAGAACTGTGAGAGAATAAGTTTCTGTTGCTTTAAGTCACAAATTTTGTGACACGTTATTATGGCAGCCACAGGAAACTGATATAAGGGTGGGATGGGATTCACTTATTCCTGGTTCACCTTCTACAGGGTAGCGGACGCTCGTTGGGATTTCAGATTTATGGGGAGGCCTCCTTTACGCCCCACCTTGAGTGAGCCCAGAGCTTCGTCTTCCGTCTCCTGAGTCCTTGTGAGGGGCTGACATCTACAGGGTTTGTCAAATGCCCTCAAGGTGAAAGGTGGTACTTGACAAACTTCTCTAGGTTTCGGCCTCTGAATATTCCTTCCTTCCTTGCTAGGAAACATCTGAAGTGTTGTTTTTTTAAACATAACATCCAGCATTTTAGTTGACTTCATCTGAGGGTCAGGGAAATTGCCATCCTGCGGGACAGGGAAGTCTAGATGTAGTTCCCTAAGACTGCTGACATCGTGGGGGCCAAATGGTAGACATGTCTCCTTCTTATTCATCGTGCAGAGACATGAGCAGATTTCATCATTAAAGAGGCGATCAAGAGACACACGGAGTCATGAGGAGGATGGAATACGAGGGAGACCTCAGCAAACATCCACCAGTGGTGGGAGTTGGGGATGTATGCCGCGGGAGCAGGGGAGGCACTCAGACAGTGGACAGTGCATCTCTCAGTGTGGCTAGAGACCCTGGTGGCTGAGATGCCTCTGATTCCACTCCCACAACACAAAATATGGGGCGGGCCAGGGCAGCACCTCGGGTCAGCTCCCGGCCCTGGAGGGCCTGTGCCTTTCCTCGCCTCCGTCCTAGCCGCACCGTGTCTCCCACTCTTGGTAGGAGGTTGTTACACCTGCAGTCTCCAGCTAGTCATTCTCAGGCTTCAGCTGGTCCCCCGAAGGCCTCCAGGATCTCCCAGCCCTGGGGGACAGGTGTTGCTAAAAATCCCTCTGCTGGGGAATCATGCAGAGATGTGATGACTCACTCCTGTCTTACTCCTGTGCCCGCCTGGGTGGGCTTTTAGGACTGGGAGATCCACATCCACTCTGTTTTGCTTTTGGAGGCCTGCTCGGGGTTTTAGTTTGCAACCACTGGAAACTGACTCTGGCTGATAGAAGCAGGAAGCGAGTGTCTCAACCTGATCTTGGGGAGCTCACAGCATCTCAGGAAGGGTTGGAGGAAGAGCCTCGGGAGGACGCAGGCAGGAACAATGTCCAAATCAGACCTAGTCTGTGGCTGATGCTAGTTCCCCCTGGCTACTGGATGCTTCTACCAGAACCCCTGCCTCTACTGCTGCCCTGCACCCACCTCCCCATCTTCCAACTGAAAGCTGGGCTGGAGCCCCGGTTGCGTGCCTATAGTCCAGCAGCAAGGGGGCTGGAAAAGAGCAGGTGGCATTTTGAGCCCTTAAAAAGGGCTGGGGGGGCTTCCCGGCTGGCACAGTGGTTGGGAGTCCGCCTGCCGATGCAGGGGACGCGGGTTCGTGCCCCGGTCTGGGAGGATCCCACATGCCGTGGAGTGGCTGGGCCTGTGAGCCGTGGCCGCTGGGCCTGCGCGTCCGGAGCCTGTGCTCTGCAATGGGAGAGGTCGCAGCAGTGAGAGGCCCGCGTACCGCAAAAAAAAAAAAAAAAAGGCTGGAAATGAGCAGGTGGCATTTTGAGTCCCTTCACACTTGCCAAGATGGAGATTCCTCAAACATATGAAGAGGGGTTCAGGCAGGGACTGGATGAATAATGGGGTATCTCCTTTCCTTCTCTCCCAAGTCAAGTCCATCTACACGTGTACAACTTGACAGCCCTCCCGTCACACCTCCTTCAGGGAGGAAGAGCTGAACTGCGGAAGAGAATTAATTTCTCCCTTGTCATAAGACTAGCCCCAGATTACAATCAGGGGCGCCAAGAACCCAAAACATGGTGATCTCTCCTTCACATTATTGAAAGAAATTTAAAAATACTGAACGGGTCAACAAACTTCTGACCTTTTCCCCCATGTTGTCTCTTTTAAAAAATGTCAAATTATTTCAAATAGCGGTTTTTCTATTCTGGGGACTTTTGATGAATCTGCTTTATTTGTCTGCTAGGACATTTGTTGCTGACCGAGGTTTGTGAAGTCAGTCACACCCATGAGATTATGTAGCTGGTAAGGCCAGCTACCGTTTATTGAGTGACTGCTATGTGCTGGCACTGGGGTGGGCATTTTTCACCAAGTGTCACTAATCCTTACATCCCCAGGTACAGATGAGGAAACTGAGAGGTTACAGGCGTGTCCCAGGTAGAATTCAAAGCCCAGGGCCTTCTATTCTCTGAAGCTTCCCAGATGCTGTCGGGCCCCTGCGCCTGGCACAGTCCCTGGCTGACAGCAGGCAGGGACTGAGGAACATCCGCTGAATCAATGAACATTAAAGATGGCACACGAGAGCCTGGTTGAATCTGACAATCACACAGATGTAGTGTCATTAAACGAACGCACACGGATTAAACGGAGAATAAGACTTTAATTGAGCACGAGCATTATATACATAAAATGTGTCCGCATAGAAAAATAAATCCAGTCGAAGTGTCCCTGAGAATCCACAAAGTCTGTGCTCTGTACATGTACAGTGTTTGCTGACGGTTACTTTTGAGTCGAGGCCATTTTTCACATCAGTCTATTGGCACTCTGGTCAGGTTTTACAGCATCTTGGTTTTTATTCCTCATTTTAAATATTTTTGTTTAAAAACTTGTTTTTCGTTTTGCTTGTTGGGCCGTGTGGCTTGTGGGACCTTAGTTCCCCGACCAGGGATTGAACCCAGGCCCCAGCAGTGAGAGTATTGAATCCTAACTACTGGACCACCAGGGAATTCCCTGGAACTTTTTTATATTGAGTGAGCACATGAGGCTGAAAATCACACCTTCAGTGGCTATTTTTTCAAATCATTAAGGCCTTTATAAGGTGGCTAGTTCCCAAGATGGAGTATTTGTGCCAAGCTCCTTGGTGGTGTGGACGTTGTCCCAGCGTCTGAGGTTCTCAATCCGGGGGTTACTCAGCTGGTCTCAGCCCTTGTTTGTCGGTTGCTCTGATCACCCTCAGAGGCAGGCGTGAGAAGGAGGGGGTTGCTGTGCCCGGCTGAGTGTGTGTCCTCCTTGGAGGTCAGCTCAGAGGACCCCTGCCCAGACAAGGTCCTAAGGCTGCAGCCCGCCCCAAGGTTCGGCTTGTGGCTTTCACACACTTCTGTGATGACGCTCAGTTTGTCAAAAACTTCATTCTCATCAGACAGTGGGAAGGAGAATAAGAGAAGTGTGCTGTGATGAGGGTGGTTCAGAAACTGCAAGAGAAAAAAAAGAGTTACTTATCAAATTTCCCCATTTCTTTTTCCGGGCTCACAGTTCTATACAGAACTCCTGGCTGGAAAACGCTGTTTTAAAAAAATGGGACAATAACAGTACGACACTTCCTCAAAACACTAAAAATAGAATTACCATATGATCCAGCAATTCCACTTCTGGGTATACACCCATAAGAACTGAAAGCAGGGCCTCAGCTCTCTCTCTCTCTCTCTCTCTCTCTCTCTCTCTCTCTCTCTATATATATATATATATACCCGTCTTCAGAGCAACATTATTCACAATAGACAAAGATGGAAGCGGTCCAAGGGCCCATCCATGGAGGACTGGATAAACAGAACGTGGTCTAGCCATACAACAGAATATTTTCTGCCTCAAAATGTAATGAAGCTGATACGTTACAACATGGGTGAACCTTACGCTAAGTGAAATATGCCAGACAGAAAAGGACAAATGGTGCGTGATTCCACTTACACGCGGTACCTAGACTAGGCAAATTCACAGACAGAAAGTGATGGTGGTGGCCGGGGCCAGGGGCAGAAGGGAGATGGGGAGGTTTTTCTATCGGATACAGTTTCTGCCTTGAAGATGAAAGGAGTCCTGTGACTGGAAGGTGGTGATGGTTGCACAACAATGTTAATGTACTTAATACCACTGAACTGGACGCTTAAAAGTGGGTAAGGTGGTAAATTTTATGTTATGTGTATTTTACCACAATTTAAAAAATGCGACAGTAAACCCGCATCTCATTTGCTGAGTGATCACAGGTCCCCCTCTGAGAGTTCCTCTTGTAAACCCAGAGGGAGACAGGATGGTCCCAGAGCTGTGGGGCTGATGCCGCCTGGGCATCCTTGCCTCTAGGAAGCTGGGATGCTGTGAGCACGGGGTAGATGTGTCTTGGAATAACAGCTAGTCTCCTGTGCGTCCTCAGGCTGAGCTGGGGGCCCTCTTTGGTGCTCCCCAGCAGCCTGTGTGTCCCTCTGTTCCAGCCAGCTCCGTGGCGTCCGGTGTGGCAGCCACCAGCCACTTGAAACCTGGCCGGTCTGGATCTACGTGTGCTGGAGGTGTAAAACACATACCTGATTTTGAAGACTTCGTATGAAAAAGAGAATGTAAATATTTCAACAATTGAAAAAAATAATTGAGTGCATGCTGAAATGATATTTGGGATATATTGGGTTGCATAAAATGTATTATTAATATTAATTTCCTCTGTTCCTTTTTACTTTAAAAATAACTGTGGCTACTAGCAAATTTAAAATCTATGTGCTTTGTTTCCATCTAGCCCGTTTTACGAACGATGACTCATGGCGTGTCCCTTCCAGCAGATGGGCTAGTTACAGACGGGAACCAGAGTCTAATCGTCCTTGTCACTCCAACACTTCAACCATGAAGATGCCCATGTACGTTTCCTGAAATATCTGCCAAGTGCACATTCTCCGCTTTTCATCCTTGTAGGTTCACCGAGGCTCTTAAATCTTCAGGACGAGGTGCAGAAACGTTCCTTAAAGCGTGGCATTCATTTTTAACTTCTTCCCCTCAGTTGGTTCCACCTTTAAGGGATCAGTTAAGCCTTCTGAAAGTAACTTCCATAGCTCAGCCCTGGGAGATGACTTAACCTACATTCTACCCTCCCCCACCCCCACCAGCCAACCGAAGGGAAAGGCAGGGGTCAGGAATTTCGCCCAGGTCCGTTGTGCAAAGGCGGTAGCTGCGGAGAGGAGGGACCTCCCCAAAGGCTCGGGTCCAGTGGAGCCACGGGAACAGACCGAAAGCTACCTTGACTCTCCTGGGAGACAGGAGAGGAGAGGACAAAGCAAGACGCGCTAAATGTCAAGAAAGCGAAGAGCAGGCTGGTGGCAGGCTCAGAGTATCCGCGGTGGGTAAACCTCCCTATGGCTTTTTCAGCTAAACGTCTCCATCCCCAGCAAATCTCCCTCAACTCAAAATTAGCCTCTGGGCCAGGGTTAATGAATTCTCTGCATTTTGAGTCAAACTGGAGAATTTCATGATCTGAGGACCCTGATCTGCTCGTGGGTTCCTGGTGCCTCCTTCGCCCTCACTCCGCTGGCCCCTCTCCAGCCTCCCCCGCCCACCCATATTTCTCACTGGCCCACAGTCAAGCCTGCCAAGTCTTCTAGCCTGGGAGGCCAGAGCTCCTGCCATCTGACCCCTTAATTAAACTCGCCTCTGGCTTCGGTTTGCCTGGTCCCACACTGTCCCATCCGTCCTTTCCTGTCTGATGAGCCCCTCTGATGGTGAAGCCAGAAGCAAAAAGCAGGTACACAGTTTGGCTTCCTCTCGGCTCCCCACTTACAGAACACCTCCTACGCTGAGCGAACGGCCCGCCCGTGTGTCCTTCCTGCTGCGAACAGGCTTCTCAGAAGTGCACCTCTCGAAGACGCGCGTCTCATCCTGCTGCTGCCGCAGTCTCGCTGGCACTCTCGTTAGAAGGTTCTGGCCGCTCTGAGTCTCTTGCCTACAGTCACGCGGTCCACGTTCTATCCATGGCAGGAGCTGTGCTGCCCACACTTGTTCACTGGAGCTGAAACAGCTCCCAGCCAAGTCCCTGTCCAGGAACTGCCCTCCGCAGAAGGGAGCTGCCTTGTATGAGTCCTTCCCAGGGGCAGCCCGGACAATGGACTGGCTGGTGTGGGAACAAAGGCCCGACGTCAGCTACCACGACAACACATTAACAGGCCCAGGAAAGCAAGAAGTGGCAAGGCCTCCCTAAGAGACGCACTTCAGAGGGTGGGGGAGTCACCCTGTGAAGAGTCAGGGACCTGTCACATCAGTTTTAGGGATCCCACGGAATAGGGAATGCCAGGACATCCTCTCCAAAGGAAGGGACCATTATTGTGTCTTACCCGCCACCCCTGCCAGGGAAGCACGATGCGAGGTGGGTCTCTGGGTTCTGGGGGGGCAGCACATTCCACACCAGGAATATGGCTCCTGGTGTGAGTGATACAGAAGGCTGCCGGCTCTGAGGGGGGCCTGGAGCAGGAAAGGGCCCCCAAGAGGGTACGGGCTTTGGAGCAAGCCGTCCTAGCCACACCTCACGCCGGCTGATGCTGGGGTACGGAGGCCCGGCCTCACCTCCCAATGACATCTCAGCTGAACCCAGTGAACATGAAGAGGCCGTGAGACCCGGCAGATCCTTGGAGGGTCTGCGGTGGGAAAAGAGGCTGAGTGGAGTTTATGGCAAATCCCAAGAGGAGCGTCACTGCGTGGCCACTACAGTTCTGAGGCCAGGCTGGCCACCTGCAGCCGAGAATTATACGCTGTTTGAAAACAGCTCTGGGAGTATTGGCCATGGGGACTTGGGAGAGACAGAGCCTTGGGCCACAGGACACCAGGTGACCGTGCCACCTAGAAGTGACCCTCACGAGGCCTGTCAGACCCACCAGGTCCTGAGGTGGGGTCAGAGGGCACGCGTGCAGGCAGCCCGGCCTCCCCTGCATCTACCCCTGCTGCACCAGCACATCTGCCTCTGTTCACACCATGACCGCGCCGGGGGACGGGTCCTCATGACCAGGAGAAGCGGGAAGAGGCCAAACGTGGCTCACAGGGAGGTCAGCGTGGCACACGGGCACAAACCAAAGATGGACCACAGCTGCACTGGAGCCCCAACTGGGGGCCCTGATGGCAGTGGGGGCGAAGCTCCCAACGGGCAGAGCTCCGGGCCGTGCATCTGGTCATCCCCTTTGTGTGGAAAGAAAAGTGGTCCAAGATCAGGTACTCATGGAATCCGAGGCAGGGGCCGACGGCGAGGCTGGTGGTCAGGGGCCAGAGGAAGGGAGACTGGAAGGCCAGCACAAGGGAGTCCGGAAAGAGGCGCGTGGATGGACTGTGGGAGCAGCTCCAGGTGGGGAGGTCTCTGGACCACATATGAACTCCGAGACCCAGAGCGGGGCCCTCTGCCAGTGGAGCTCTGTCAGGCCTCAGCAGTGCCAGCCACGGCCCTGCAGGATAGGGACAGCCGATCATTCCCGAAACAGGTGTCAACTCCAGTCAGAGTACACTGGTGCCCCTTCCAGAGTCCATGCCTCAGAATGTGACTTTATTCGGAGATAGGTCTTTACAGAGGTACTCAAGTTAAAGGAGCTCATTAGGGTGGGCCCTGATCTGATCTGAGGAGATTTGGACACAGATGGGAGAACGCCACGTGACGATGAAGGTGAGATGGGGGGACGCTTCTACAAACTAAGGAACCAAAGGTTGCCAGCAGCCACCAGCAGCCTGGGGAACGACCGGGAACGGCTTTTCCCTCACAGCCCTTGAAAGGAACTGACCCTGCTGACACCTGCATCTTGGGCTTCCAGCTTCCAGGAACTTGAGACAATACGTGTCTGCGGTTTAAGCCGCCTAGCGTGTGGTAATTCTGTTATGGTGGCCCGTGCTGACTGACACAGACCTCACATTACATCATGTCAGGCCATGGGACCCCATGACAGCAGAGGAGGCCAGGAGTGCAATACCCTGATGGTAACGCATGCGGGGCCACCCACCCAGCGTCTGCCAGCCTGGAAGGACGATGGCTGGCCCGCTGAAGGTACGGGGGGAGGGGGGGACTGGGAGTGGTACCAGCTTGGAGACGGTGCCCTGTGAGGACCGGCCATCGTCCTCCAGCACTGGGCACGCACTGAGAATCAATGACAGTGTGTGATAGTGTGTCCCCAAGAAGTAGAGTACAGGGGCTCAGGGACCGAGGGGTAGAAGTAGGAGTGGCCCTGCCTGCCATCACTCCCGCTGACCCACTTGGGGAACTGGTATCCACGCAATCTTAGGCTCCGTGAGCTCAGAGCAGGGGTCAGCAGGCTATGGCCCAGGGGCCGAAACCAGGTTTCTTTGTACGGCTCAGGAGGTAGGCACGGTTTTAGAGTTGTAAGTGATGCCATTTAAGTGGTTACGTAAGTATCTACATAATAGCTCAACAGTTACTATCCCAGTGGGGGACGTTTCCACCAGGAGACACAGTAGGGATCCCATCGAACTTTAAGTGATAGCTGCCACCTCGTCATGCCAGGATCCTTGTGCCGAGAAACTAGCCAGCAAGGAAAGGAGTCGCCACACAGGTCATCAGGAGGAGAAAAGGCTGCTGCTACGCGATGGGAGCACCCAGCTGGGTGATGGGGCATCTCATGGTATTGGGACTTCCCCTGCCCAATTCTGACGGCAAGTGGATAAGCACAAGTGCCCAGATCCCTGGTGTCCTGTGACCAGGGGCTCAGTCCTCGCAGAGCGGAGGGTCTGAGTCACCCCATCAGGTCAGTAGCCTATGTCAGCAGCGGCTGGTCAGGGGAGAGGGGCCTCTAGAAGGGAGAGCCGAGCAGCGGGTGTTACTTGTGCCCGTGGGACCAGCTGCAGTGATGGGGCTGGACCCTGTTCCGTTAACCTTCCTCTTGTAACCTTGTAACCTAAGAGATCGACTTAGCTCCTCGAGAAGCTGCGCCCGCGCGTCCCGGTGGTTTATGGGGTGGGCTGGAGTGGACGCTGCAATGCGCCACCCAGATGCCCTTCAGGAAGGAGGAACTTGCTCCCCTGGCTGCTGGGAGTGGGGCTGCCTCCCCACTGAGCGTCTCCCCCAAGGTTCCCGGGGCTGAAGGAGCTGCCACATCTAGTTACACCTCCTTCCTGGGGGCACCCACACCCAGCCCAAGGGTAATGTGGGCCCGTGGGCCCTCTAGCCTCAGCCCTGGACATCTCTACCACAGCCCCTTCAGGACTGGCATCGTATCCCTCATCCCATCCTGCTGCCCTCTCTCCCGCAGAGGTGTTACTCGCAAGGCTAGCTCCACTAAGACTTCTGAATGCAAATCTCCATTTTAGAGTCTGTTTCCTGGGGAATGAGACCAAAGACAGGATCATTTGGGGCTGAGCCTGGCACATTTTCATTTCTAAGTGTGAGAGTATAGGCAGGATGATTTCATTTCTTTAGGTCACTTCCGTCCTACAGTCTCTATCCAGGTACATCCTTTCTTCTTCCCAAACCTTTTGAAAATAGCTTTCTTGAAAAAAAAAAAAATTGCTTTCCTAAAGTCTCGGACACACATCCCGTAATTTCAGTCGCTCTCAGATGTCCCACAGCTGAAATCGCACTTGCCCCTCCTCCCATCCTCTGCCCATGGCTGTTCGCTGGCACTCAGCCTACAGTTTTCCCTCTCTCATCTTTTCTGCTCCGAGCTCTGCTTTATCTCTTCCTGTCCCAGGACCATCACCTTTGCTCCCTGATGACTTGGGGCTCGGGGAAGGGAAGGTCGGAGAAGGAACAACGTCCAGGTTGGAGGACGGGATTCGGAAAACAAACCTTTACCCCCTCCCGTAGGGCTGTTCCATGAGCTCAGACTTCCCTGGAGTGGCACCAGGGATGGGACCAGCGTGCAAGGTGCGTGTCATTCTCCAGGAAACCACGCTGTGCTGAGTTAGGCGGCCCTGACTTAGAAGGACAACTTCTGGTCAGTGTTTCCGAATCCACACCTGGCTCCATCCTGCTACCTACCTCTTTCAGGTGCTGTGGAAGAGAATTCCTCGGGGGGATGGCATGCTTGGCCTTCCTGTAAACGCACCGCAGCAAGACGAAGCAGCCAGTGAGCGTCAGGAGGGCGGTGCACACCGAGGCTCCCAGGACCCCGGCCACGATCCAGGTGGGGGCGATTTCTGCAGGGACAAGGGGCTGGGTCATGTTCTTGTCAGGCACAGATTGGCTGACAGTGACCGTAACACTATTTTCACCATCACAATCCAATGGTAACCCCTGACCGTTGGGGGGACCCACACGTTTGTCTCGGAAGGCGTGAGGAGGAAACCCAGCAGCTGTTCGAGGACCCAGAGGTTTTCAAGTCTCACCCTTTCCTGTCTTCCTCCAAGTTGGGTTTCTGGCATGATTGCTGGTACACACAAAAGCAGCGGCCGCAAGAACTCTGACCCACTTTACCTACTCACAGGGTAGCAATCAGCTCCCTGGTGGGGATAAAGCTCTTCTGCCTTGAAGCAGAAAACACGACTCCCTGGGCCCCAGAGCCCCAGTGAAACACACGCGCTACAGCGTTCTGAACTGAGAACTGCACAGATGACCCCACCTGATCCCCTGCACTCAGAGACCTCCCCCAACAGTGTGGTCGCCAGCAGCCCAAGGCTGAGCTCTGGGACCGCCCAGCACCCCCTTGAGCTCCTCTCTGGAAAAACTCAAGGCTACCAAAGGAATTCACCTTTGTTCTGCCAACTCTTGACCTTCCTTTCTTAGTGCATTTTCACAAAAAGCTCGGGACTGTAAATCTTTCCTCTGTCCCTTTGGGACCTACATGTATCTCCTACAACCAAGGAGCGTCTTTCTCAAGGACCTGAAGGCCATTTCTTTGAAATGTCATCATCGGGAAGGAGCGAGCCCCCGTCTAAGAGTTCCAGTGGGACCTACCCTGGCATGGTTGGTGACACTATGATGAACCCCCGGGGGACAGTGCCTGGGTCTCCTTGGGTCTCCAACCCAGACATTTGAGCATCTTAGACAAGGACATTCCACAGGCACACCTGGTTGATGGTGACAAAATTCAAAGGATGCTTTTGTGACTCACCAAGAGGGGGAAATGGGGAAGGAGAGCAGACCCTGTTTTACACAGGCTGTGAATTGTGGGAGAATCTAGTGATCAACACCCTCTATATAAGGCTCTCTAACTTGTTTCAGTCTGTCTGATCATGCTGTCAGGTGGACTCCCTTTCTGTTTCACAGGGAAATCGTGCCTTTGCTTACCTATGGGATTAATCTGTAGGCAGTGGGCTTAGATATTACTTTCTTCCTGTCATTTACTAGCTGAGCAACTTTCGGCAAGTTACTTCACCTCTCTGGACCTTCATCTTCTGTCTCTGAAAGGGGAGAAGAGCCTTTCAATGCTCTCATTGAAAACTTGTGAGGTTTAAATGAGAGAACTATGTTTAAAAAAACCTAAAATGATGTTTGACAAAAGCAGATTTTCAGTGGGCTATACTTTTCCTTTCCTTTTTTTAAAAAAATTATTTATTTATTTATTTTTGGCTGCGTTGGGTCTTCGTTGCTGCACGAGGGTTTTCTCTAGTTGCGATGAGCGGGGGCTACTCTTCCTTGCGGTGCGCAGGCTTCTCATTGTGGTGGTTTCTCTTGCTGTGGAGCACGGGCTCTAGGCACTTGGGCTTCAGTAGTTGTGGCATGTGGGCTCAGTAGTTGTGGCACATGGGTTCAGTAGTTGTGGCACGCGGGCTCTAGACCACAGGCTCAGTAGTTGTGGCACATGGGCTTAGTTGCTCCGTGGCATGTGAGATCTTCCCGGACCAGGGACCGAACCCGTGTCCCCTGCATTGGCAGGCGGATTCTTAACCACTGAGCCACCAGGGAAGCCCTACTTTTCCTTTTCTTTTAAAAAATGTTTGGTGGCTTCCCTGGTGGCGCAGTGGTTGAGAGTCTGCCTGCCGATGCAGGGGACACAGGTTCGTGCCCTGGTCCGGGAGGATCCCACATGCCACAGAGTGGCTGGGCCCGTGAGCCATGGCCGCTGGGCCTGTGCGTCCGGAGCCTGTGCTCCGCAACGGGAGAGGCCACAACAGTGAGAGGCCCGCGTACCGAAAAGAAAAAAAAAAAAAAAAAAGTTTGGATTTTGTCAGTTAATAGGTGATCACTTAAGAGTCACGAAATATTTGAAATAGTTCTCTTTTCGGTCAAAGTGTGTGCCTCATGCCATGTTCCATGACATAAACCTTAAGGAATATTTAAATGCATGATTTTAATAATGTCCTTATTAATAACGGTAATGACATCGAACCCATATTGCGGGCTCACTCTGTGCCTGGCGCTGTCCTGGGTGACACCCTTTGATTCCCCTCATTTTGCAGACGAGGCGGCCAAGGCACCAGGCAGTTCAGGATGCGCCCCACACCACTCATTATGTTGGAGTTCACGGCAGGGAAGGACGGGACACAGGACAACCGGGCATGTACTCAGGCTTGGGGAAAGCAGTTGGCAGGTGTTTAGAGGAAAGAGGGGTGATTCCAAGGTCAGGGATTCTAGGGATTCAAGCTGGGTGAGGATCCCCAAAGCACAGAATTCTGATTCAAGCACAAATGATTCATGAAAGGAATAAAAAGATAAGCTCTTGTTATTTAACGGTGCTGTTGAGAGGCTTAGCCATGGCAGGAGGAATACAGGCAGGTCGACTCAGCCTCAGATAGAGGCGTGGCACTGGACAGGGAACTACAGAAAAAGAAAGGAGACTGACAGAGAATTCCCTCCAGAGAGACAGCAAGACTTTCCATCTTCTACATGGCTCTGCATTCCTGAAAAAATCTGCTTAATATGATTGGAGAACAGCTTCGGATGGCACTGAAAAGATCACATGCCTGGCTGAGGTGAAAGATTCCTAGATTCAGGCAAGTAATTTGTGCATTTACAAAACGAAGGAAAAAAACCCAACAACAAGATTCAGGAAACTCCAGGCTGGAAAGCTGGATGTGATATCCAGAAAAAAATACAGACATTCTGGAATGGATGGTTAAGTGGCTAATTACAAATACTTAAGAAAGATAAGGACAATCACAAAAAATAATAACACGAGGCCACCGAGAAGAAATTGGCTCCAAGTGGCTGCCTTTCCTGTTTTGGATAGGGTTACTTGTTGGTAAATTACGGCACATTATGGGCTGGTTTTTCCCAAGCTGTTTTCCTTGGAATGCTCATCCTCAAAAATCATGTTGAAAGATCAAATATGCTAAAAATGCTAATATATGGGGTGACTTTTCTGAGAGAGAAATGCGGCGTACCATCATTTCCAAGCACATCCGACTACCGGGCTCTTGTTTTGAGAAATATCCCATAACCACTCATGGGACACGGTTGTGACAGTGCGGCACTTGGCACTGGGTGTCAATTTCAGGTCATATTTGCCAAAGTTTTACATGGTGACTTTGTGGACAGTAAAACCAAACAGCTCACATAATAGTCCACTAGATTCAGATGGATTGGTGACCAGTAAGCAACTAGCTAGGCGGTCTAGAGGGAGGTACATCCTAGACACACCAACAGTTTAAACAACGAACTGGTAAGGATCCTGAACCTCCTACCAGCAAATCAGTTGATGAGACAAAGCAAAACAGGGAGAGAAATATGTTCAATGACAAAACCCAACATTCACGAAGAACCTGATAAGCTGAAATGATGAATCACTGTGACGGCAGCACTGCAGTTGCCTCAGAATGGCAGTGACACAGAAGGTGAAAAGTTTTACTCTCTCTCTGGAGGGAATTCTTCATTACGCTCCTTTGTATTTCTGTAGCCCCCAGATCAGCACCTTGCTTCCAGGAGGGCCTCCGTAAATGAAAATGGTCAGGAGCAGACCTGCGTGTATGCATCCTTTTGTGGTCTGAGCTGGCGGAACCTCTGGACATCTTTAAGTGACAAAAAGGCCCCAAAGGGCCTGACGTTTGTACACAGACATCTAGGCCACAAGTTTTTATCATTCTGTACGCCAATGCAATGCATCCGTACAAAATTACTCAGTGTCTAGGCCAACTGGTACCCTCCCCCTCCCTCTTTTCCTCCTTCCCTTCCTCCTTCCCCATGTTTTTTTCTTTAAGAAACACCAAGCGTGGAGGCACTCTGCTAGACACTGTGGTACACATCATATGTGGGGGACTGTGTTGAGGTCCTGAATTCACGAGGAACCCTAAAACCAGCTTGCTGAGGACAGTGAAGGGGTTTCCAAACTCTTCCCATCACGTGCCTGAAGGAACTGGAGATGCGCAGCCTCATAAGGAAAGGCTTCTGGCGGGGGTTGTCAGGGCTCGACCTTGGCTGGGTGGGCTTGGGAGGACTGAGACTTGCTTCAGGGAGCCCAAGAGGACAGAACGAGCACACTGGAGGCGGACGCGTGGAGGGAGACCTCAGCTCCCCGGACGGAAGGATCTCCCATCCATCCCTTTGGTCTAGGAGTGAACGAGCTGCCTCAGAAGGTTGGGGTCTCCTTCCCAGCATGAGGCGGTCAGTCGCGGCTGAACTGGGTGGGAGTTTGAGCTGGATGATGATCTCTAAGGAGCCTTCTGGCCCTCACACTCCCGGGGAGTCTCTAAAGCTACTTAAGATGCTCAGAGGAGGGACTTCCCTGGAGGTCCAGGGGTTAGGACTCCGTGCTTCCACTTTAGGGGGCGTGGGTTTGATCCCTGGTCGGGGGACTAATATCCCACAAGCTGCATGGTGCCCTCCCTTCAGGAAAAAGATGCTCAGAGGAGACAGAACTGTAGACAGTGCATCTCGAGACTCACCGTCAGCAGTTGTTTGCTCACAGACAGGCTCACTCCACTCCCCAGTTTTGTTCCGATCAGGAAGAAACCCTCGAACTTGAACACAGTAAGTTGTGTGTGACTCAAGATTTCGGAGGACCTCGAAGTCATACTGACCAGTAACTGGAAACTAGTAACAGAGACAAAAATAAGAATATGCCTCAGCAGTGAAGGGGTATCATCTATTCTCCCCCGCCTCCCCGCCCCACTTACTCGTTATAATCTTTCCTTCAGGCTCAAAATAGGAGGATGAAGGAAGCAGGCGCTCCTCCTGGGTCGTCTCAGGGGCCCCGGAGACCATTCTGAGGTCGGGGTGGGCAGGGCAAGGACTGACCACAGTCCTGCCAAACCACCTCATGCCCTGAATTCTCCAGTTTAAATGACACACAAGCCATCCCACTTCCTTTTTTTAAAAAAATAAACCAGTTGTATGGGTTGAATTTCGCCCCTCCCAAATTCGATGTTGAAGTCCTAACCCCTAGTACCTTCAAAAGTGACTTGGTTGGATAGAGGGTCTTTGCGGATGTAATCAACGTAAATGAGGTCATTAGCATGGGCCCCAATCCAATACGACTGGTGTCCTTATAAGGAGAAAATGTAGACACAGACGTGCACACAGAATGCCACGTAAGGATGAGGCAGGGATTGGGGTGATGCCTCTATATACTAAGGACCCAGAGATTGCCAGCACCCACCAGAAGCTGGGCGAGAGGCCTGGAACAGATCCTTCCTCATGGTCCTTAGAAGGAACCAATCCTGCTGACACTTTGATCTTGGACTTCCAGCCTCTAGAACCTTGAGACAATACATTTCTGTTGTTTCATCCACCCAGTTTACAGTACTTTGTTAAAGCAGCCCTGGCAAATGAACACACCAGTCATCTACAGTAAGACTCAGTGTGATTTTCTAAGTCCAGAGCATGTTCCTGACAAGGCTGCCTGGGGGTCTCCTCTGAATCACTTCTCCATTCACGAACCTGAGCTGCCCGGCCCCAAGCGGCTCGACTCCCCTCGAGGGCACACCCCTCAGCCTAACTCTGGTGGGGGCGTCCCAGACTCATCTTAGTTTAATTTAAATATATCATAATTGATGATGTATTTCTGAATTTGAGAAACCAAAATAGTTTACAGCAAAATCAAGGGAATTCAAAGAGTACATCCTGCCTGTATTTCCAGCATGGTTACAATTTCCTCACAGAAGGGCCTTATGAAAAATCTGTTACGTGAATAGGAGCTACAATAGAAAGTGAGCACAGACTCTGTTTTTACTTTAGTAATTGGTTACTTTTCTTTGGGGGCTGGGCCTGCTGACAGCTTGATTCCTTTATTGTATAAGAAGCTAAGCTCACTGAAGGCGAGAATTGGATTTTACCAATTGAAAACATGAAGAGTACAGTATAACTTCTAATCATTAAAAGCAGAAATAAAAACAAAAAACCCCTGGCTTTCATTTCCAGGAACCCAATATTTCTAAAACCTTACAATGCATTTTTTTTCAAGGCTAAACTCAGAGGTTGACACGTCAGAAGCATACATGGAAGAGGGTGGCACGGATGTGAGGGCTTTTCTAGCCTTTTTTCGCTTCTGGACAACTTCTGATATTTTCTCACTTTCCCCCATCAGGAAGAAAGAATTTCTAAAAGCTTTTAATGCTCTTAGCTTGGCGACCTAATATGGCGCTCTCTCAGAGACACCTGCATTCTAAAAGAGAACCATTTAATCTTATTTCTTTCAGGCTGCTGTAACAATACCAATGACTGGGTGGTTTATCAACATTTACTTCCCACAGTTTTGGAGGCTGGGAAGTCCAAGGTCAAGGCACTGGCAGATCTGGTGTCTGAGGAGGGCCTGCTTCCTGGTCCATAGCTGGGTCTTCTCAGGAGTCCTCACAGGGTGGAAGGGGCAAGGGAGCTCTCTGGGGCCTCCTTTATAAGGACACTAATCCCATTCACGAGGGCTCCACCTTTATGACCTAATCACCTCTCAATGGCTCCAGGTCCTACTACCATCACATTGGGGATTAGGTTTCAAAGTATTAATTTGCAGGGGAGTGTGGGTGGGGTGGGGAGAGGGGGAAGGGAACACAAACGCTGAGTCTACAGCACGTATAAACTGGTAAAGGTGACCCTGCAGGCACAGTGAGGGAGGCACTGGGGAGCAGGCAGCCTTTCCAACACTCCGTGTGTCACACCAAAGTCTTCCACACTGCAGGCAGAGTGAAGGCACAAATATGTAACCATATGCCTGTCCTGCGGGCATATTCTAGGTAAGAAGCTAAAGAGATAAACCGGGTTTTGAATTTCATGCCTGGGGCAGGAGGCACTCAGGCCTGGTAACTGTGGAATCTGATCCTTAATCACAGTAGGCTGCAACCTCCAGGAGTTACCTTCCTACCCCAGACTTTGGCAGGGACACTTGCATTTGATAAGTGACCATAAAACTTTCTGTGTTGCTTCCTAGGCACACAAATCCTGGGGCCTTGACTATAAGCAAAATCATCTATTCTGTGAAGAAGGCAGATACCCTGCGTCAGTTAACGAAGCATTTTTAAAAACTGAAGTATAGTTGATATACAATATCTTATTGGTTTCAGGTGTGCAACATAGTGATCTGACATTTATATACGTTACGAATTGATCACAATAGAGCATTTTTGGGGGAGGGAGATTAACTTGAGATTTTTGGGGGGCTACATAGTATGTAGATATAAATTTAATTACATCATTCTTCAGACAATATGCATGGGTGACCCTTTCTTCCCAAACGCTTGAGAATCAGTGATAAAATCAACATTTAATGCAGAGGAGATAACATACGCATAACTTAACTTACATAAAATATACGTAAGTTAGTTTAGGACCACAGATGGCATTCAGCTCAGAAGCACTAAGTGTAAGAGTTGAACAAAGATGAATGAAAATAGTCTTGACACGTCTACACAAGGGCACGGGAACCTCACGTATTGACCATACCCATTGTTCAGGTAATGGGACAAGCTTACTTTTTTCATTATGTCATTAAATTCCTCAACAATCCTATAAAGTAGGTTATTATCCCCACTTTATTAATGAAGTGGATTATATGCCCATTTTGCAGACCTGAGAAGCTGAGGTCAAGAATGTGACTAGAGTCACACAATGGCAGGGGCAACGTTCCAACAGGATCTTTCCACTCCCAGCCCATGTTGTGAAAGGCACTGTCCCTGGAAGAGGAGGAAAGCAATGGGGAAAAGTGGGGTCAGTCCAGTAAAATGTGACACCCACCATTCATCCAGGGCTGGGGCTGCCCTGGACACGGACTTGACTATTCTGTGGTGTACTGGGGCCTCATGCCATGCAACAGTAGACATTCACTGATCACCTGACTCCGCTGACTCCAAGTTCCACCAGCCAACAGCTGAGTCAGCTCTGCCTTCTTAGGCAACTTCCCTTTGGGGAGAGAAAGGCCTGAGCTCCTGCACCAGCACCCAGGAAGTCTGCTCTGTGCATTGCCCTTGTGGAATGGGAAGCATGACCTGACATACCGGCCATCCCCCACAATGGGAAGCTTCTGGAGCTCAAAGGACCAGGCCTGAGATCCTCTGGACCAGTGGTCCCCAACCTTTTTGGTACCAGGCACCGGTTTCGTGGAAGACAATTTTTCCAAGGACCAGGGGCAGGGGGGTGGTTTCGGGATGATTTATTTATTGTGCAGTTTATTTATTTATTTATTTATTGTGCAGTTCATTTCTATTATTGTGCAGTTTATTTCTATTATTATTACATCAGCTCCACCTCAGATCATCAGGCATTAGATCCTGGGGCTGGTCCCCAACAGACCTCTGCTCTGGACCATAAGGTGCTGCCACCTGGCAAAGCCTCCCTCCGACCAACATTGAGCAAAGGAGAGGGAGCTTACATCTGCAATGCATGTGATTCGCCGTGCTTACCTTTTCGTCTGAGCCATTTTTCCAATATTGCACATGATAAGTCCATGAGTTATAAATATTCCTCATGCTCCATGTTTCAGGTTCATTCTTAATTTTCGGGGCTAAGAAACGCATATGTAAAGAATTAGCAAGTGCTTCTACTTGGATTCTGGGAGGTCCGATAATGGCTAAGTATGAGAACAAAGCAAAATGACAATCAAAATTCACATGTTAAAAACATCAACATTTACTTTTCGTAACTGGGCAGACCAGCTGGGCTACTGAAGTACTCTGCCCTGTGATACACTGCTGAGGTGATGCTGACAGACGTGGCTAAGGAGGATTCTTGGATTTTGTTTCTTAAAAAAAAAAAAATCTATTAATCTTTGCCTTCATTAATCAGGTTTAGTCCATTTATGTTTACTGTGATTTGATATATTTGGAATCATTCCAACTACATTACTTTGTGTTTTCTGTAAAGAGTCCCATTTTTTATTTTTTAATTCCTCTCCTCTTTTTTTCTTTCTGTTGGGTTGAATCTTCTTTATTTCCATTGTTGGGTTGGAAGCAACAGATGGTATTTCTATTTTTAGTGTTGAACCTATATAATTAAACCACTTTCCAGCAAATACATTTTCCAACAAAGTCTGAAACTAGATCTTCCCAGACCAGGGCTTGAACCCATGTCCCCTGCATTGGCAGGCGGATTCTTAACCACTGCGCCACCAGGGAAGTCCTGGGCAATCCTTCTAATGCATCTCTCGATCTGCTCTTTGGAGGGCTGCACTTGAGTTCTGTTCATGAGATTCTTCTCCTTCTTATTCTCTCAATTGCTATCTGGTGGTTTAATTAGTTTTCAATTCCTGATGTTCTAATGATGTTCATTTTATGACCTCTGGTGGGTCCCCATGACCTTCCGGCTCTAACCTGGGAATATTTTTTTCAATGCCGACCAGCCAGCCTGACCCAACCCATCTGCCATCAGCTGTATCCGTCCCTCTGTCCTTCATCCCGGGCCAGCTGGTCTTTCTGTCTCTACACCCGCCTAAAATCAGTCTTTATTTTTCTGCTGATTGCATCACATTTCTTTAAGTCATGATTCCAAACTGACTTCCTCCTCCAAAATTCAACACACAAATCCTTCTAGTTTTTCTCATTAACAGCGCTGGCTCCAACTCGTTTTTACCCTCGAGGCATTAAAGTCATCAAATTTATATTTAATTATCTTATTGCTTTATGCCTACCCTGTCCTATCTCTCCCACAAACTTCTTTAAGGCCACAGCCCTCTTTATTACATTCCCTAAGCTCCTTGTGCAAGGCCATCCACTTGGTGGGCACTCAAAGAACTCTTGCTGACGGGCCAACCAAGGGGGAAATGAAATCAAGGCAAGATGATGACATAACAACAAAATCAAAACCAAGATGGCTTACTGTCATCCACAGGACAGAAGGTGATGTTTATCCAGTCTGAATGCTCGTCTTCAAATTGAGCCCTGACCCTCAAGGTGTGGTCACCGTACTTGGAAAGACTTGAGAAATCACATTCCGTCAAGACAGTACTTGTGCATATATCTTGGAATTTCCTGTAACTACAAAATCAGAAGAAATCATGAGAGTTCTACCCTCAGTCGCTCTGAGGCTGACTGATGCTTTATTCTTCTGCTACCAAAGGATAATGGAGGATAATGTGAGGAGAATAAAGCAAATTCCTTACTGTCAATTTCAAAGAATACTATGTATCGTTCACACGAGCATTTTCCAAACTGTGCTCCATGGAACCTTAATGATCCTTGAGGTATCATAAGACATTTCAAAAACAGTCCATCCCACAGTCAAACAATTTGGGGCAAAAACTGGGTGAGACATGAACAGGTGTCTGTCTTCACAACAGAACTGCTCAGAGACTTTCATATCCTAGTAAAATGTGTCTTTCCAAAAAGGGGTTGAGTATTCAACATATTTGACCCAGAAAGCTGCCTTCTTTAGCTATGTATTTCTGAAACTTGTGGGGCATGGTTTGTGAAATGTTGATATTCACAGATTAGCCAAAATAAGTGTATCATAATGATTTCAAATAATGTCTTGTAAGTGACTATTGTTCAGTTACGCTGGAAAAATTATAAAATTCGTTGACCTCAGATCTCCAGCCCTGGCACCAACCCCTGAAGGGAGGGTGGCAGAAACATGAAGTGGAAGGAAAGGAATGTTTGAGAATACCTACCAGGTACGTGTAACTTAACCTCACAACAGCCAAAGGAGCTATAATTAGCTCCGCCTGAGGTAAGGAAATCCAGGCTCTGGTCTTGCAAAAAGTATGAATCTTGTCTGACTGGCACCTTCCTGTCTTTGTGCCAAAACCAATCTGGCTACTCTAAGAGGTAATAATGAAGATGACGGTGATAACAATAATAACAGCCAACACTTGTCAAGCACGTAGGTGTCAGGTGGGGCACTGATTTTGCAGTATTATCTCATTGAATTTTCACAACCCCAGGAGGGCGGAAGTGACATCACTCCTATTTTATAGGTGAGGCCCAGGTGTAGAGAGCCTAAGACACTCCCCCATGGGGCTTGGGTCTGCTTGACTTCAGAGCCCATTGCCTCAGGCACCACTCCACAGTCCACGGCACTCTTAGGAGGCAGAGATAATTGGGCTTATGCTATTTCACTGTCTGCTTTTTTCACTTAATAGACCACAAACATTTCTCTAATCAATCAAGTCTCCGTGGCTGCCTAACATCCCATCGTTGGGGAAATCCAAGGGTCATTTCATGAAGGGGGTTTTCTCACATGCGGCCATTTCTTTCCATGCATTTAAACTAATGCATGAATTGGCTGGAACACAGGAGTATTGCAAGAGTTGTTCTGCAATAACTTCCGTTTCACTAGGTCATTTTTATTGCACCTACAGATATTTTTCTTCCCATGAAGTAGCTAATAGGATCTATTCCCCATATTTACATCTAATTGTTTTAGATGTTTCCATATTCAAATCAGCAAGCCATCCTCTGAAGTTCCCTCCACCACCGGCCAGCCCTACCCAATGTACACATACAACAAGAATTTGTACTGTGCAACTGCTCAGGTTAGATTCTAATCAAACCTCTTCCAGAGCCACAGAAGGGTAATCAGATTTTTCAGGATCAAATTTCTTCCACACCCAGCACGTGTTTTGTTTTCCCCAGCACAGGCCATGCTTGGTCTGCAAGTCTATGCTGAGGAGACCTGGAACCCAGGTATCCATTCTTGGTTACTGGGAGCTCTCATCTAAAAGACAAACACCTAAAACCAAACACCTCTACTCCAATGGCAAAGAAGCAAAGAACAGAACAACAAGAAATAAGCCACAGGGGAGAGGGACAGACAGAGAGGGAAGCTCATTTTCCACAGTGAAATCCCTAGAGCTATCAAGACAGAGTGGAGAAAACACAGACGAAATTATAAAACCAGTCAGTGCTAGAAAATACACCGCAGGAGAAAAATAAATCTCAGAATCATGCTTATTAATTAAGTCCTTGGGGAAACTGACAAAACTGGAATATGGACTTAAAGGACTGTATCACTGGTGAAGCTACCATATCTTGATAACTGTACCACAGCGATGTGAAAGGTTATCCTTGCTCTCATGAAGTACACAATGAAATATTAAGGGGCAAAAGCAAGAAAATGTGGCGAACCTTAAAAATTGGTGAATATAGGCTCTTTGGAAGTTCTTTGTATTATACTTGAAATTTTGAAATGTTTCGTTACCTGGGAATTATTTCGAACTAAAAAGTTTAAAAAAAAAAAATGTAAACGAGGATTATCTTATTCATCTTTCTCCTTCTTCTCTGACTTAGCAGGCCTTGGATGTGTTTGTAAAATAAAGGCCGGGTGGGAGGAGTATGGGATCCACGGCATCTGAGACCCCCAATTCCTCCCTCCTCACTGAAGGAGCTGTCTGCCTTTGACGAAGTTTCTGAGTTACACGGGAAGCAGGTGTGCGGCTCACTGGCCTTTGGCTTCCTGTTGCTGTCTGCACCTGGCACAAAGGTGCGTCATCTGCACTCCAGCCTGTGGTGTACAGTGGCAGGCTGCCAACGGAGGGCTGGCGACAGGCTGGGCAGGTCCTGGGAGGTCAGAACACCACTGAGGCAACCGTGGTTGGTGATACCCTTCCTTCATAAGCGTCTGCCCAGCAGCTGTCTTACATTCAATTTCAGAGTAACTGAGTGCTCACTATGCAAATGACCTGCACCCCCCCAGTACTGGGGTGTGCAGTTTATAACCTACTGGAGGGGGTCGGCGGTAAGCGAGCAAGGGGCTTCCTGCCTGCTTTGAATACCTCAGTTTTCTTGGATGGCTTCCACTGTTGACTTCTAGCAATACTACTCTAATAACTGGAAGATGGTCACCACTGGCATTTGTCTCTTAGAAAACATTCATAGTGACAAGCCCGATATGTTCGCATTGCGGTAGGCTGCCACTGTGGCCGATGACACTCACCATCTACATGATAAAATGTCTGTCACACCATGAACCATCACAGGAAAAAGGAAAAAGGAGTTTACTTGTCTGTTTTCAGAGAACAGCGCTTTCACAAGAATTTCTGGGACAGAAAGAAGAAGGCCAGGAGAGAGGCTCCCCCTGGGCTGTCAAGGTCACTGGGGTGACAGCAGTCAGACTCTCTCCTTGGTCTGGCCCAGTGACCAGCCCAGCCAAAGCCACCATCCTCTGACAAGAGCACCCCAGACTTACCTTTGGTACTGAGCTGTGAAAGTCAGGTTCCCCTTGGGAAAAGCAGGCGACTCCCACTGTAGAATGTTCCTGAAATTAACTGAATTCATTCTGACATTTTCAGGAGGTGGCACCATTCCTAATGCTGTAAAAATAAAGGGGGAAAAGTTGGCAACTCTCTTCCTCTAAAAGGCTGTCCAAGAAAATAACCATATCCCATACTCAGGTCTTCCCTATGGCTCCAAGTCTTCAAATGCGCATGTGGGTGAAGGAGAGACATGCTTCAGCTGTGCTGAGGAGTCTAGATTGTATCTGAAGAGAAGAAATTGCTAAGGGGAGGAGGATAGTAAGAGTGAAGTGGGGATGGCTGAGGGTGACCTGGATTTGGGTGGTGGTAGAAAGGTGTGAAGGGGTGGGTAGATGGATTTTAGGTATATTTCCAGAGGTATAAAATCTAGGTTTCCTAATACATTTGGTGTGAAGAAGTAGATGTTAATATCCACTCCTGGCTTAAGTACCTGATGGCCTGACTGGAGCTGGGGACAGGGAAATCAGGAGTCCCAGTTGAGAATTTGCATTAGGTTTGAGATGTGAAGGATACGTAAGTCGGTATATCAGAGACAGCTGGATGAATGAGCCTGGGGCACAGAATATAGATCTGGGCTAGAGACAGAAATCGTTGTTAAACTTTTTAATAGAAAACGCCAAACATACAGAAAAGTACAGAGAAGAGTATGTTAAACCGCCACCGGCCCATCACCCAACTAACACCAACAGATATAAATTTGAGAGTCGTGAGCCCATAGCTGGTATTTAATGCTAGAGTTCTGCTGATACCCCCCAAAAGGGATAGTGTAGGGGAAGGAGAGAAGAGGGCTCGGGCATGAACTTGGCTGTATGGAGATTTGGTAGAGGGGGAGGATCCCAAATAGAAACAGGCTGGTAGGTAGGAGGGAAACCGGAGAGCAAGGTACCCTGGAAGGCCAGGGATGAGTTCATCAGAAAGGAAGGAGGGATCCATAGTGCTGTTTGAACCTGGGCTAGCAATTTAGAGCGGGACAGGAAGGGTTTCAGTGGATTTAGAACTCAGAAACAATAGAGCTGCAGAGTTGAGGGGCAGAATTCAGATCTTGGGGTGCTGGGGACTTAGTGGGAGGCCCTGACGGCCCGCCCAGGCACTTAGTCACTTTGAGTGCGCCTCTGGGGTCCGCTCAGGGGTCGTCTTTGGGGCCATCGCTGCCCGACGTCGTAGCCGAGCTTCCTGGTTCCCGAGCGCACCTCGGGTCGGGACGCAGCGCCAAGGCGGGGCCGGGTCTCCGCGCAGGCAGCCCGGCTTGGGAAGCGCGCTGGGCGCGCGATTGAGCCGACACTCCGGAGAATGCCCGGCGTCCCCTCCCCGCAGACCCCTCACCTGACACCAGGAGGCAGCCGCCCAGCCAGCTCCGGAGGCTCTGCGCCATGGTCGCGCATGGAGCCCGGGAGGGCGCTCGGGGGGCCGCGGGCAGCCACCGGGCACCGGGGTACGCGCCCCTACGCCCGCTTCCGCGCCAGCGTAGGGAGCTCCGGTGACCCCGCCCCGAGGCTGCTTCCGGGAACCGGCGGGGCGGGGCGACACGAAGCCCCGCCCCTGCCTCGGACCCCGCCCCCGCGCGCCGGTCTCTAGAGACCGCTGTCACCCGATTGGCAGATTGGCAGGGGCAGGTGCAGAGGTGGAAGGGCACTATCCTCCTCCAGGTGAGTGGAAAACGGATTGTAAAACAGATTGCAAAACTGTGAGTGCCGTGTCCCTATTACCTTAAATGCATGCTTTGAAAGGAGTCGCAAGTTAAATAAATACACTCCAACGCCAACCCAGAGGTGATATCTGGATGGTGGTGGTTTACACCGTGCAGTATTCCCCAAGTTTTCTCCAGAAAACAGGCATGGCCTCTGTAACCCCTCTCCCCGCAAATAAACTGATTTTAAAGCACTCCATTAGCCAATCCAGTTTGAGAGGGTCTTCTTTACCGTTAACTCCCCCCTCCCCCCAGGGATAAGCAACAACACAAAGCCAAGTCATTTCTTTGTCAATAATCGTTTCTCATACAACACTGCTGAGAAAGGCCTAATTTCCTCTTTTTCAGCTCTGCAGTGGTGAGGTTGGAAAACCCAGAGCAGGGTAAGTACCAGGGGGTGTAAGACACTGCCTGACGTCTGTCGCTAACACACCTCACATGAACTTGAACGCAGGGAGGAAGAATGTGCCTTTGGCCCCCATAGGCCACTGCACAGAGTTGGAGGGAGTTTTGTGCAACCTAGAGATGCCAGCAGAACCACACATCCGCTGCACATATATCCTGTCTAATAAGAAACAACTCTGAAGACATTCCAAAATTTATATTAAAAAGCGTGTTTTCTTTTTTACCAACCTCCAACCATTGTACAAAATTAAATCTTAAAATATGACACAGAGATTCTGTCCCTCTCCCTTATGCAAATGTTTCTGTATTAGTCACCCGGCCCGCACTTGGTGTGTCTGTCTTCCTCACTCAGATTGAGGAGGGTTGTGCAAGGGGCTGAGAGTTGAATTTTCAAGAGTGTAGGCGACAGAATATCATCAGGGAGGTGCCCAAGACTTGGCTGGACCTTCCCTACTTCTAACCCAACCCGAAGCCTGTGCTTCTGTTTCCTGGTGTGTGCCCCTCCTTTCTCTCCGGCAGCCCAGCCTCCCTCCTCTTTTTCTGCTGCTTTCCAGCTCTTCCCTGGAGACTTTGGTAAACAATGCTGACTGCCCCTGCTATAAACCCTGCTCTTTACTCTGGGAAACATGATGCAGAAACATTAGACATCCATGAGAATAAAGGGAATGGGCAGGGCCTTTTCCCTTCAAAGCAAATCACTTTGAACTGGTAAACAACACACTGAATGATACCAGAATACTCTGTTTCCCACCTCCCCTTCCCCAGACTGGGAATTTGCACAGATGATGTCACCAGTCTCCTAATCCTTCTGTCGGAGAACACTTGGAGACCCCAAAGGAGCAAGTGCGGGTGCTGGGAGGGACAGCACCGGAGGTAGCAGGTGTCCAAGTTAATTAAATATTTCTTGATTCATTCATCTCATTACATAACCATCCCCCATGTCAACATCCGATTCGGAAGTGTCACTTTCATCAGAAGGAGAATCTTCAGGCCACGGATACTCCGCAGAGGGGCCGGGGAAAGGCAGCTGTGTCCCTTCTCCACTGGCCACCAGAAGAAGGTTCGATTCTGTCTCGTCGGGGTCCTCTAGCACAACTGTCTCTTCTGGACCAGATGGTAACATTGGAGTGACTTCTGAGTCGTCGTTGTCCTCAAGGGCCCTCACGCACACAGAGTTCAAATCCACATTGAAGACAATTCTGTCCCCAGACCCCTCCGTGGGGCTGCTGTCCTCCTCGGAAAAGGGGTCCTGCAGCAGGTTCCCTCTCCCCTGGTAGCCCCTACTTGTGCATTCCGACTGCCAGGGGCTGGGCCCTGGTGCCATCAGGGCCTCAGCATCAGCCTCGGGCTCCGGCAGGTCACGCTCCTCAGTAGCCGGGTCACTGCAGTCCTCCAAGGTGGCCGAGGACACAGAGGCGGGCCACAGCCTGCCCGTTAGTCCGTGCGTGGTGTAACCACCTGCGCTTATTCGGGGGGCTGCTTCATCCTCGCTGTCACTTTCATCATCATAATTATAATTCCACACTTTCTTCTTTCTGTTGATGTGAATAAGCTCCACGGTAGCCACTTTTTCCAACGGAGGCAGCTCGGGAAATACCCAGACTGACAATTTATTAAAATTCTTTAAAAAAAAACAACAACAGAGGGGATCAATTCTGAGTGTTTGTTCTTTACTTTTTGACATCATAAAACTTAATGAGGTTAACTACACAGTGATGGGGAAGGTGGTAATGAGGACGATGACAAAAGCAACGACAACAATGGCTAATGGTTACATAGTGTTTACTATTTGCAGGGCACTGCTTTTAGTAATCTACACACGTTATCATTCATTTTACCCTCACAACCGCTCTATGAAGTAGGCTTACTATTCTTATCCCCACTTTACAGATGAGAAAATGAGGCAGAGAGGTTAAGAAACTTACCCAAGTTTCACAAGTTTCAGGAATACTAAGTGGTGGAGGCTGGGTTTCAAACTAGGAGGTTGCCTGCAGCAGAGACTGGCCCACGCCTTCCTACTGCCATTTCCTCGCTGCTTCTTGCTTATCAGGGGAATCTATCCATTTAGTCTGGATAGATTTCAGCCCTGGATTGCTGACATTCTTAAGGGTATCAAGGAACTGTGAGTAAGGAGAGATTCTAGGGAGCCGATTCCACTGGGGTCAAAGCCCTCTGCACTGGAGGACCTTAAAGAGGCAGGTGACCCCTAAAGGGTCAGAGATGAGAAGAGCAGGGAGACTGCAGCTTGCTCTGAACCAGCACCTCCAGGACACAGAAGGTGAGGTGGGCTAAGGAGACTGGCTACAGTGGGGTCATGCTGAGGAGGGTGGTCACGAGATTCCTTTCACAGACCTGGAATCATCAATGACATCCTCCTCCTCTCTATTCTCTTGCTCAGGCTGCCCAATTTGACAAGCCTACTCTTCCCTGACTCTCTCCAGACCTAGCCTTGGGATGAATTGTTCCATTGGGTTGCTCATCATTTTTCTTATTGATTTATGGGGGTTCTATATATAATCTATAATCTAGATGCCAATTATTTGTCGATTATCTATGCTATATGTAATTTCCCCCAGTCTCTGGTTTAACATTCTACTCTCTTTATGATAACATTTGATGGAAAGAAGTTCTCAATTTTAATGTAAGAAGATGTATCACTTTTCTTTCTTCGTGGTTTCTGCTGAATCTTCCTTGCCCCAAAGTGAAAATCTCCTTTACTGCCTTCTAAAACTTTTAACAGTTTTGCCTTTCACATTACAGTCTTTAATAAGCCTGAAATTGATGTTTGTGTATGGTGTGAGGTAGGGATCCAATTTCATTTCCCCCCATATAGGTAACATTTACTGACCTGTCAATCCTTTCCCCATTGCAATTCCTACTTGTCATTAGTCATGTTTCCACATAGGTGGGTCTGTCTCTGGGATCTCCATTTGACTAGATCTTTGATAATGCTTTTCAATAAGGTTAGATAATTTTCTCCACAATGGGCTTATGACATCTTCTGTTAGATATCTTCCTTGTTTTTAAAATATTTTTATTACCATTGTAATGGTATTATAAAAACGGTATGTTTTCATTTAAATCGCATTATTCCATTTAACTGTGTGATTCCAAGTTCAAAACCAGGTAAAACTAATCTATGCTGTTAGTAATCAGGAAAGTGGTTATCCTGGAAATGGGCAGTGACTAATAGGTAGGAGAGACTACTGGGGAAGCTGGTCATGTTTTCTTTCTTGATCTGGGTGTGAGTTATGTGGGTACATTGAGTCTGTGAAAATTCACAGAGCTTTTTGCTATGGTTTGTGTACTTAATTTCTTGGATGTTGAAAAGCAACTTATAAAAAAATATATTTGTTTTCTAAGTGATTGTTGCTAATGTATAAAAATGCAAGCATTTTTATATTGATTATTTTGTGTGTAACACATTGCTAAACTTATTAGTCCTAATACTTCGTCTCTAGATTCTGAATTTCTTACTTAGCCAGTCATATCATCTATAAATTATCATTGTCTCTTCCCCCATTTTTCAGACTTTAAGCTCCATAAGGGCACATTGTTTGTTTTCTTTATTCACATCTAAATCCCCAGCACCTATAACATGTGGACACACAGTAAATACACAACACGTATTTGTTAAATGCAAAAGAGGAGAAGGAGGGGGAGGGGAGGGGGAGGGGAGAGAGAGAAAAGACCATGTTTAAAATTTTTAATATCTGTTCTTGATTAAACGTACATACACAAACATACTAGACCTAGGGTGTTCTGTTTTACTATTCCTAGAGTTTTTACTTAAACACAGAGTAACAATTTTTAATGGAGAAATACCAGGCGGACACAAGATAACAATACCTCCTGTCATTCCTTGGGGTTAACACAATAACAGGTATAAATATAATTGGCATATAATTTGGGTGCATTTTAAGGATGGGAAGAGCCCCAGGGAGACCTGGGAGGAGGGTTAGTAATGAGTTTAGGTAATTCAGGCAGATTACCTAGGAGGTGATGGGTGTGGTGCTAGGGGCCTTTAAATCTCAAGGCTGCATGAGAAATGTGAATGGGAGTGGGATTTACCTAAGACCTCAAGGCCAAAGCAGTACTTGGCCAACGGAAGAGTTGGAGTAAAGGCTGAGAGTAAACTTGCAACTGAACACTAACATAAAAGATTCAAAATATACATTGTTAAAGATACAAAGATAAAAGTTACACTGATAGATAAAAACCAACCATTCTTGCAATACAGGGATCACAGTATGGATGAAATCCAACACAGAGCAATTTCCTTCTCATAAGCTACAACCAAATGCCACCTAGGTTCAAATACTAATTGTAAGTAAAACCTCCCAAAGCACCCCTCCCCCCAAACAATCCCTCCCCCAACCCAACCTGAATAAGAACAAGAGAAAGAAGCGTACATCATCCATAACAAAGAATGAAATAATGCCATTTGCAAAAACTTGAATGGACCTAGAGTTTATCATATTAGGTGAAGAAAGAGAGAAAGACAAATATCATATGCTATCACTTATTTGTGGAATCTAAAAAAAAGGATTCAAATGCACTTATTTACAAAACAGAAATAGATTCATAGACATAGAAAACAAACTTATGTTTACCAAAAGGGAAAAGGGACAGGGGTGGGAAGAGATAAATTAGGAATTTGGGATTAACATAAACATACTACTATGTATAATGTAGGTAAACAACCAGGACCTACTGTATAACACAGGGAACTATAGTCAATATCTTGTAATAACCTATAATGGAAAAGAATTTGAAAAAGAATATATACATATTCTTCCTGTACACTTGAATCACTTTCTGTATACTTGAAACTAACACAACGTTGTAAATAAACTATACTTCAATTAAAAAAATTTTAAAGAAACAAAAGAATTAGAAAATAAAAAGCCTACACTTTTATCACCTGTGGAGGGATATTTATCTGTGGCTGTTAAAAAAATTAGAAGAAGAGGGCTTCCTTGGTGGCGCAGTGGTTGAGAGTCCGCCTGCTGATGCAGGGGACACGGGTTCGTGCCCCGGTCCGGGAAGATCCCACATGCTGCGGAGCGGCTGGGCCCGTGAGCCATGGCCACTGAGCCTGTGCTCCGCAACGGGAGAGGCTGCAACAGTGAGAGGCCCGCGTACCGCAAAAAAAAAAAAAAAAAAAAAAAAGAAGAAGAAGAAGGTGAATGAGTTCAAACGTAGAAAAATAAGATATTTCTGATAATTTTCTAATGTAGAAGGAAAGTGACACGATAGGGAAAATGAAAAATGATGGGCAAAGCGCTTGAGTCAAAGCACATGAGGAGGCTTTAGAAATATGTAAGATCAATACCCAGACCTGGCTGAGTGCTAAAGGCTCTGAGCAGGAAGAATATGCCTCGGGAAGCAGAGAGAAAATACGAAGACAGAATGGCTGGTTTCACTAACAATGAACACAAATGAGAGCAACTCTGGGGGACAGTTATACTGCGATAAATGAACAAAAGTAGAAAAAATGATTAATGCCAGCAGAGCTTTGGAGAAAGGTGTCCATCTCTATGTTGACACTAGCATTATAAATTAATCCTTTATATTTTTATATAAGATAAATTCACTTTGTGTATCTATTCCATGGAAGTAATCCAAACTAAAAAGACAACCTGTATAAAAATGTTCATTGCATTGTTCATAATGGCCAAAGACAGACATTGAAAGGAAAAGAAATCAATCCAAATGCCCTACAGTTGAGAAATGATTAAGGGAAAAGGGAGACATTAATAACAATGGAAAACTATGTTGATTATTGAAAATCATATGTGGACAAAGTATAAAAAGAAAGCAGAAAATTCAAACTAGAGGTTTATAGGGATGGAAAGGAATCCAGAGTGATAAAACACCTTGATGTTTTGAGACAACGGGGTTTTCTTCTGTGGAAATATTTAAGCGTATAATGAAAATTCTTAAGTTAAAATGAAAAATAAAGACAGGAATTAAAAAAAAATACCTACCAAAACTTTGGGGAAATTATTTCTTACGCATATGTAACCGATCCGTTTCAGCATCATTACAGTGCTTACGAAGACAGCAGCCACTAAAAACAGAGTAATTATTCCTCCTATTGTGGCAGATTCTGATGACTCTGTTGATGAAAATTAAATGGTTTTATTTCAAAATAAATCCAATGAACAATTGCAGTTGGGAATAAATGTACATTGATCTGGCGGTGGAGGGGTTTATCAAGGGGGCAAAAGTTGGAAAAACTATTGTTAAATACCAAAGAATGGAAAGTAATCCAAGTATACATTTTTAAAAATTGATAAAAATTCAGTTTCTAAAAGTACAATTTCTTCCAGTAGATAATTATGCTCTATAACTGCACTGTCCAATATGGCAGCCACTAGCCACATGTGACCATTCAAGTGTAAATTATCAAAATTAAAAAAAAAAGCTTTCTGAGTCATACTAGTCAGGTCTCCAATGCTCAACAGGCACAGTCAGCAGGCACGGCAGGCGGGGAGGAGTGGAAAAGGGGAGTTTTTCTGAAGAGAACAACTGCGTCACCCTGAAGCTGGACTTTGGCCACGCCAGGAGCCTAGAACTTGCTTTGTCCTGTTAGGAGTTCTCCTTTAGTTTCCTGTCAACATTACTTTTGGAAAATCTCAATTTTCTGAATGAAAATACCTTTCTTCCGTGAGTCCAACTGGACTGAGAAGAAATCAATAGTTACATAACTAAGGCTCTCTTAAATTTCCAGAAAGACTTTTCTTAATATTAATCCTAGAGCCACAGCCTCAGGCAAAACAAATACAGGAGAGGAAAAAGTAAAGATGGCTCATATATTTTTAAAGTCTTTCAAAAGGTTAAAGAATGAACAGAAAGAAACTCGGGGAAGGTCTGCTCCCTCAGATGGCAGAAGATTCACAAACCCTTTTCATTCCCATCAAGAATGAATGGGTCATCTTCAAAAAGTCTACAAACAAGACATGCTGGAGAGGGTGTGGAGAAAAGGGAACCCTCATTTACTGTTGATGGGAATGTAAATTGGTAAGACCATTATGGAGAACACTATGGTGGTTCCTTACAAAACTAAAAACAGAGTTACCATATGATCCAGCAATCCCACTCCTGGGCATTTATCCAGAGAAAACCATGATTAGAAAAGACACATGCACCCAATGTCCATTGCAGCATTATGTACAATAGCCAGGACATGGAAGTAACCTAAATGTCCATCAACAGACAAATGGATAAAGAAGATGTGGTACATATATACAATGGGATATTACTCAACCAAAAAAAAAAAAAAGAACAAAATAATGCCATTTGCAGCAACATGGATGGATCTAGAGCTTGTCATACTGAGTGAAGTAAGTCAGGGAGAGGAAGACAAATACCATATGCCTTTATGTAGAATCTAAAAAAATGGTACAAATGAACTTATTTACGAAACAGAAACAGAGTCACAGATGTAAGAAAGAAACTCATGGTTACTGGAGGGAAAGGGGGGGAATAAACTGGGAAATTGGGATTGACATATACACACTACTGTATATAAAACAGATAACTAGTGAGGACCTACTGTATAGCACAGTGAACTCTACTCAATACTCTGTAATGACCTATATTGGAAATGAATCTAAAAAAGGGTGCATATGTGGATATGTATAACTGATTCACCTTGCTGTACACCCGAAACTAACACAACATTGTAAATCAACTATATTCCAATAAAAAAGAAGAATGAATGAAGGCATGTCATATCAATGGCAGTTCTACAATCAGATCTAGCCATAAAGGCACACCTTTATAATACAAAATTCTTACACGTATAGAGCTTACATTCCTGAAGAGGATTCTGTGAACCAAAGTGATTTCTTTGGAGAAGCAATGATGTCATGGAATTCTGACCCATGGGTCCACCCCTGCTCCTGCCTCCACCCTCTACCTGAAATTGCCCCCCTCTCTGCACCCTTTCTGCCTAATTTTTCTCCGTAGTACTTACCATCACTTGACACACACTATATTTTATTTTTTAATCTTGTTTCTCTGTCTCCCAATATAAGATCTATAAGCTCAGGAATTTTTGTCTGTTTTGTTCACTGCTGTATCCCCAGTATCTAGAAAAGAATCTGGCACCTAGTAGACCCCTGATAAATATTTGCCAAATGGGGAATTCCTGGTGGTCCAGTGGTTGGAACTCCGCGCTTGTAATGCAGGGGGCACGGGTTCTATCTCTGGTCGGGGAACAGAGATCCCGCAAGCTGTGCAGGCATGTGGCATGGCCAAAAAAATTTTTTTTTTGTCAAATGGATAAGCACAGCTTTCCCTCAGGACCTTACTGAAAAAACCCAACCAATTAGTTTAATATTTGACAAAGGGGAGACATTCCTCCAGCTCTCTGGACTAAATTCCCCCATATCAATACTGCCTTAAGATACCAGTGTTCACCACTGAGTCCCAGTAAGTTAACTCTGATCCCAGGTCATCCTTCAAGAATTCCCCACCTGAGTTTGGCTAGTTGAGGGTGGCTCACACGGCCAGTTTGGATAGTGAGAGGGGCCACGTTATATGAACCTACTTGGTTCCTGAAGTTTCAGACGAGAATTGGGACATGAAATATTTGGATAGTGAGGCATACCTGTACGTTAACTGTCTCACGTAATGATAAAAATAATGGAGGTTGACAATATGCAAGATGATGTGTTCACACCAAGGAAACATGAAGTGATGGGACTGCATGCTGCTGCATGACCATTTCTTAGTGGGTGAAACAGAGAAAAGTCGGGGAGAAACTGAACCATCACAGAACAAGGATATCAACTTCCAAAGAAGCAGTGCCTTTAGTCAGGCTTGGATTCACCTAAGTGCAGACTGAGTTTCAGCAAACCACTGTCTGTCACGCCATATTACTGGGTTTTTTATTGCTGTGATATTGTGATTTATAATAAGAAGTACATATTTAGTCTTTGTCCCCAGTTCTGAAACCCTTAGAATTTCCTAAGTGATTAGAGCAAAGAAAGTGAAAGGAGCATTTTTTGTTATTCATAACAAGCCCCTCTCAACCTCACTTGGTTTACATTAAGGAGATGATTTTTGGAAAGTCCCAGAGGATGGGCACTGGTTGCCAGGGGAACCGACCCTGTGATTTAGAGAGTTGGAACTTTCAGCCCCACCCCTTGACCTCTGGGGAGGGGAGAAGTGGGAGGTTGAAGTAATTGCCAATGGCCAAGGATTTAATCTGTCATGTCTACATAAGCCTCCTTCAAAACCCTAAATGATGGGGTTTGGAGAACTTCCAAACCTTGCCCTATGCATCTCTTCCTTCTGGCTCTTCCTGAGTTGCAACCTTTTATAATAAACAGGAATCTAGTAAGTAAACTGTTTTCCTGACTTATGTGAGCCATTCTAGCAAATTATCAAAGCCAAGGAGAGGATTGTGGGAATCTCCGATTTATAGCTTGTTGGTCAGAGTCCACGTGACAACGTGAACCTGCGACTGGCGTTTAAGTGGGGGAGGGGCAGTCTTGTGGGACTGAGCCCTTAACTTGTGGGATCTGACGCTTTCTCCAAGCAGATGGTGTTAGAATTGAGTTAAATTGTATGACGATGAGCTGATGTGGAAGAAGTGTTTGGTGTGGGAAAAAGCCCCCCACAGATTTGTAGTACAGAAGTATTCTGTTGAGCAGAGGAGAAATAATTTCTTCATTCAATTGGTTTCACAGTTCTGTTTGTTTATAAGATCATGGTATAGTAATAATAATAATAATAATAATAATACCTGGCCTTTGTCCCTGGTTCTTGGCACAGAATTGCAAAAACCCCTGGAATTTCCTCAGTGATAGAGTGCCTTTTAGGGACCATATCTGAGTTTATGTTAATGAGCTGAACTTCTGGAAATTCTGGTCCCACCCCTGACCTCTAGGGAGGGGAGAGGGGCTGGAGATTGAGTTAACCACAAATGGCTGATGATTTAATTAACCATGCCTACGTAATGAACCCAATAAAAACTCTGGACAGTGAGGCTTGGGGAAATTCTGGTTGGTGAACATATCAAAGTATAGAGAGGGTGGTGTATCCCGTCTCTGCAAGAACAGAAGCTCCTGCCCTTGCAGTCTTCCAGACTATGTACCTCTTCATCTGGCTGTGCATTTGTATTTTCTATAATAAAATGGTAAGAGTAAGCATAGTGTTTTCCTGAGTTCCATGAGTCATTCTAGCGAACTATTAAATCTGGGAAACTCTGAATCTGTCGCCAGGTTGGACAGAAGTGTGGGTAGCCTGGGGACCTAGGACTTGTATGGCAAGTTGTAGGACTTGTAGGACTTGCTGGCATCTGTAGCGAAGGCAGCCTTGTGGGACTGAGCCCCTTAACCTGTGGGGCATGCGCTAACTCCCTGTAGTATCAGAAATGAATCGAATCTCTGGACACTTGGTTGATGTTGAGAATTGGTGTTAGAACATAGATATGTTCATTTGTTTGGGGTTTACATTTTTGTAGGCATGAAGAATCTATATGCAGTTTTAGGTGTGCCCATAGGTAACTGACGTTATATAAATTATTGAAACTAAAGTCATGAAATAAAATTGGCCTGTGTATCATTCCTTTAAAATTAGCCTGTGTAACACTTGATTCTGAGGAATACTAGAGAACAAAATCACACGGCCTGGAGTTACAGCAAACACCTTGCACCCTGATGTGTCAGGCACTGGTTAGTGAAGCTCACTTCAGACACAAGCCATAGCACTTACAGTCACTTCCTTATAAATCTCGTCTTATTTTATGTTTACTCTGGTAGATCAGAGCATTAAAGAAACGCTCACTGCGGTTGGGAAACCAGAAAGGCTTCTTTGCGGGGGAGATTTTCACTTTTGGCAAAACAGTTGGAGACCTAGTGACTTCCCGAGAAAATAATCAGCAGTGGATGTTCCTAAGCCTGAAGGACTGTTCTCCCTGCAAATTCCTCCATTCGAAGGAAGGTTCGGGGAGCATGCTGTCTACTGTTCTGATGCTTTGGTCACAGAAGGGCTTTCAGCATTCAGCAGTGACTATCTCATCCACACTGGCAGGTTTCTCTTTCATCTATGAGCTACAGCCAACCTTCCTGAGAGCCAGGCCACATATATGAACCTGACCACATCCATCATTCTACCCTTTGATACCTCTGCAGGCAGTTGCTTCGGCAACCCAGCCCCCTCCAGCACTTGGCTTGAATAACGGCCGGGCTAAGGGCACACAGAACTGAACTTGATCCTGACTCCCTGAAATAAAAGCATTTCCACTTCAGGAGGATTTCTGATGTTACAAAGGAAGATACCTGATGGTCCCCATGGTATGGCAACATAAAAGTGACTTCACCACATGGTAGAGCCTGACTGACAGAAAACATCTCTGTGATGTGCCCTGGTTGGAAGAAATGCCTGTGCTGCTCCACGACTTTCAGATTCTTTTCTTGAAACAGGTTTTCCCTCAGAGTAAAAGCAAAACATGAATTTTCAAAAACTGTCGTACCTGATTCCCATCCAGGTTGGAAGAGGGTACATTTTAAGGGAGATCTATTTATTTTTCTCGGATGTTTAGGCTCGAAATAAACAGATACACAGTAGTTTGTTTTTGGAATTAACTTGTTGATGACATAAATGAAATTTTCAGTGACGTTTCCATTTATTGGGGGTTTATGCTATAAAAATAAACAAAAACATCAGTAAGACTTTAAGTGAGAATTTCATTTAGACGCAAGCCTTAAGAGAGTCTTTAGAGATTTGTCTTCAAATCTTAAACAGGGATAGAAATATCATAGGCTTGGCAAGAAAAAGTATTTTATAAGTTACTTGGGGCAAGCAATTTATCACAAAACTACATGTACGTGTATACACACACATACATGCACACGCACACACACAGGCACACATACATTTTTAAACGATGAAATCTAGTCTAGCAACTTCCTTTTACAAATGAGGAGGAAAAAGTCCCAATGAGGAATAAAGGTCTCCATGATGTCATGTTTGCAGTAAGATAATCTTGCAAAAATAAGAAAATAAGATTATCCTATTTCATTAATGATACGTGTCTATACTTCAGAAACTGCGTTTATACATATTAACTCATTTGATTATCAAAAGAGTCTGCAAAGCAGGCATTATTCCCATTCTCCAGGTGAGGAAACTGCAGCTCAGAGTGGTTAAGTAACCTCCTCAAGGCCACACAGCTTATCTGTGGCAGAACTGAGGCTGATGTCTAGTTTCCCTGTCTTCTCCTTAAAAACACTTTGCCTCTTCTTCCCCAGCTACTTCTGTTCCATTTTGGAATTAAAGAGATGATCTGAAGGTTCTTTCCTGAAGAATAACTTTTGTATAATGTTTTATAGTTTTCAAAGTACATCCTTACCAGTAGTTTTATAAATGAGGATTTCCACCAGCTCAAATACAGCCTTCTATAATAATATTTTTCTGCAAGTTTATATTTGAAAGGAGGAGGAATTATTTTTGAACACCCCGCCCCCGTAGCAAACTAAAAGCTCATGCCTGGAAAACAAGCAATGAGGAAGAAAAAGGACAGAAACCACAAGTGTCATCGTGAGAGGGCTGTCCTCAAAGGGAAACTGCAAACCGACAGTGGAGAGTCAGAACCTCTGGGTTGCATACCTGGCATGGTCGTTGTGGTCATCGTGTGATCTTAAGTCGGCAACGTTTGCTGCCTGTTTCACCGGAAGCTCCCTCCCACTGTGACGCGTAGGCGTAGTCCCTGCTCCTCTCGTGCTCATGAGATTCCGTCCACTCTCATCTCCTCCCCCAGACATTGCTCCCTGCCCTGCATGCCCCGGAACATGCCTTCTTCACATGAACATGCTGTCATTTCTTCCATCTTAAAGAGTCCCTCCCTCGACCTCACTTTTTCCTCCAGCTACCACAGCATCTCTCTCCTTCCCTTTATAGAGAAACTACGGAGACCTCTTTCCTGAAGTCAGACCACACAGAAGCCTAGACCCTTCAGTTTTAATTGTTCAAATCATTACAGATTTTTTTTTTTTTTGGCAATGTATTCATTGCCAACTCAGTACTGTTTTGACCACTTACCTTCTTAACGGTCCCCCCTGATTGTTCTTCAATTAATGCTAAGTAAAACTGTAATTCTTCCTCATTTAGTATCTTGGGAGCGACAGACTGAAATTTCACATTGACACTGATGTGGTCTGTAAAACCAACAATCTCAAACTCTGGTGGGTCCAAAGGCAGTGCTTAGAAAACAAAACAAACCCCAAGGTCAGTCAATAAACAGCATAACCGTAATGACACCATTGTCATGATACAACCATACCTCTTTACAACTGTCTTTTAATTCCCCATGGCCCTCGTTGAGGTGTGGGTTATATATTCTTTTTATTGGTGAAAAACTGAGAACAATAAAAGTGAAGTGATTTGTTCACTATTACCACAAGAAATGGAACACAGATTTGGGGATGAAAGTCAGTATTTCCCCAATGTTCAGGTTGTATTCTAAACACAAGAGTGAAAATGACTTCTTCTCATATAATAATAACACATAAACATTGCAGAAATATCAGAAAATACAGATAGGATTGTCTCTGAATGTGGTTAATCCTCTTTTGTCCATGCTGTACGTGTGTAAATATAGCTACACATATAAAAACTGAACGAGTGTACACACACACACACACATCTAAACTAAAATTAAGTCCTTCTTACACTGTTTTGCATGGTATATGTTTTCACTTAATTTATTTCATAAACATATTAATGTATGTTTATCTACATCATTACCTGGCAAACTAGGGCCCGTGGGTTAGATTCTGCACAGCCTGCAGGTTTGGAATGGTTGTTATTTTTGAAAGGGTTGTGAACAAATGAAGGATATGTGACAGAGACCATACATGGCCCACAAAGCCCAAAGTGTTTCTTCTCTGGCCCTTTATAGAAAGTCACTGACCCTGATTCTTCATCATAGTTTTTCACAGCTAATTCTATTCCACTAAGCGGCTGTCCCATGATTTAACTAATTCACTCTTTTGAACATTTAGATTGGCTCTAAGTTTTCTGAATAGAATCTATACATCAATGAGTATAGATTATAGCTCTAATTCTTAGAGCTCAATCTTTGCATTTGGCTGTAATCATTTCTTTAGGACAAATTATTAGAGGAATTCTGGATTAGAGCAGGCACATGTTAAGCTTTTCAATACGTACTGCCAAATACCTTCAGAAAGGCTGTCAAAGCACGCTCCCTGCATTTCCTCTAAATCTGGGTATTTACATACTTTTAATATTTACCATTTTGAGTCTTGAAAAATGAGATCTCATTACTCTTTTAATATACATTCTTTAATGGTCTGAGTACCATGTTCTATAAGTTGGGCTATTTCTTTTCTCTGTGGACACATACACAAACAGGCAAGTCCACAATTCCAGAGAATCTCATAAGTATCTAAGTTTGCCACAGCAGGATTCAGTTGTCATCTGAATACGTGCTTTGCTAAGCACATATATGAGAGTATACACCTACACAGCCTTTAACAGGACCCTGAAGTCGAATCTTTCTCTTGGAAACAGGCTGCAGATCAGGACACTGAAGAAGTGATGGAGTCTGGCTGAGAGCCACTGCCAGCTGCTCTGTAGCTGTTAACACAAGTGCCAATGGGAGCTGACTCCAGTTGTAGGGAAAGAAAGAGAGGGCAGACCCGCTCTTGGGATCCAGTCTTCTCTGAGTCTGGGCCCCGCGTGTGCACACACCTGGGCGTTCACACGTGCAAGAGCTACTGGGCTCTGATCTGGGGCAGGGGCTGAAGTATTAGGAAAACATTGACCCAAGGAGTTGTGACAGCTCTTACAGGCCATCCGAACTCCGTTCCCCGCTTCCTGTCGGGCTGTGAAACAATGCAAAACGTAGCAGCTTCTATACACCAGAAATGAACACAACATTGTAAATCAACTCTACTTCAATAAAAAATAAATTCAAAAGAAAAACTGCAGCTACTACTGCCTGAATGCCTGCCTCGTACAGGCATGGATGCAAAGGACAGGTTAGCATTCCACTTTTTGGAGAAGAAAACGGAGGCTCAGAGAAGAAAAGTCACCACTCCACGGTTACAGAGTTGGAAGTAGCAGGGCCAGGAGGTGAACCTTAGCCCTGCATCTAAAACACCTCTGTAGAACTTCCAACTTCATGGCAAAGCACAAAACGATGATCTTGGTGATGATGATGAAGATAATAAACAAGATTGACTCACTGTCCATTGCCAGGAAGAAAGAGCCCACACAACTGACCAGCTCTGCGTTCCCTCTGAATCCAACCACTTTGGGGATGTACATCTCTGTCATGTTTACCCACACATCTGTTAGGTCACAGAATGATCTTGTGATATTTGTACAGTCCCCAACGATCTTCATATCTTCCTGTTTACTTTGAAAGGCAAAGGAATGGTAAAAGAAAACTTTAGCATTTATGTGACAAGAAACCATTAACTGCAAGCCCCACTTCCACATTCTCGTCTAGCTCTGCTCAAATATCTGCCCTCACCACCTTATTCTGCCCTCACCACCTTATTCCAAATGGCACACCTTACCCTGTGCCCCCCACCCCTCTCTCTTGATTCCTCTTTCCTGTCTCTACTTTTCTTCATACCATTTGCCACCGCCTGCCCCATTATATCTTTGTTTACTGATATCTCTGCCTACTTTCAGAATGTCTGCTCCAAGAGAGCAGGGATTTTGGTTCATGGTTTGACCCCTGGCATGTAGTAGGTGCTCAGTAAATATTTGCTGTATGAAAGAAGGAGCAAATGTTGGGCGTTCATGGCAGAGGCCCCAGATTTCCTGGCCCCTACAGGACAATCATGAATGCCCCTCGCTGAGAACCCCTCTCTCTCTGGCTGAGGACCACATGGTCCAGTCCTAAGTCAGCCTGTGCTATATGGGGACAACACAGACATCTGCTCACTTAAGCTTCAGAAAGGTAGGTGGGTGATACATGTGACTGCCTAACGCAGGGAGAAACTTAACGACTTTAGCAGGTACCAAAGAGAAACCCACAAGAGGCCCTCCAGTGGGTCAGTCAGCAGCAGCAAAGAGCTATAAGCCAAATAAACAGCCAACAAAAGGACACCCTGAAGGGCTACTGGATCAAAGTAATGGCTTAGGAGGGTGACTGTTAGACGTGGGAAGAAGAGAGCCAAAGAGGGCTCCATCCATTAGGTCATGAGTCCCTCAGCAACCCCTAAGTAGGAAGATTAGCACAGAGAGGCTGCACTCTGCGTGGGTTAGTGACCAAGCCAGACTTTGGACCTGGGCCTGTCTTAGTCTGGACCAGGCAGCTTTCTGATGTGCCACATGCCTCCCTGAGTAAAGGAAAGTAAACACAACCCATCAATATGGTCACCAGATCTTTGGACTTCTGTCCTCAGAAAATGCGGCACTTTCAACACCCAGACTTACTGAGTTAGAGAAATAATTGTGACAAACAGACACAATAATTATTTTGCTTCTGAGCCTTTGACATGTAGAAATCAGCTTTGGTTCTAAATGCAAGCTTTGTCAAAAATAACTTTGGGTTGTTCAAGTATTCAGTGTAATTAAAAATGGATGGGTCTTTTGTCTTTAGACTTTTAAAGCTCTGATTAAAAAACCGAAATTGAGAAGGGGCGAAAGAGGGGGAGAGAGAGAAAAGCTCTATCACAAGTAAGATCACCTCTTCCCCACTCCCCACATTATAGAAAGATAATATATTTAGCAAGAGAAAAATGAAATGTCAAACCAACCTCATGATGGTGTACCATAATGTATAGTGAGTTGGTACAATTGAATGGTTTTTTAATTCCCATGATAAGACTGACTGCAAATTTCGTAATGTCATCTTTAAAGTGCAAGATTCATCTGAAAAATCTAAAGGGAACAAGAGGAGAAAAAAAAAAGAAACAGATTGAAATTTGGAGCCCAGCGTTGTACCTCGGCCACTGTTCAAACTGTCCCTTGGGATCTGGAGCCCGACGCTTCTAGCAGAGAAGCCCTCCCAAGAGCCCTGGGATCTTGGAAACACAGAAGGAACTGGTTTGGCTGGACACGATAATCTATTAATACGATTAATAGATAAGCAACACGTTGTCAGGGTGGACAAGCTTAGGAAACAGGAACTCAGCACTTGTAAACAGAATTTGGGCTCACCCAATTATCACTGACTCTCAGTGGCTGTTTGGATCAAAACAACCTATGTCATCCTGGGCCACCCCATCCTCTCAAGTCAACCCTCAACCCCTGCTCCAGTCCCCCTAAGTAGCTTGGCCCATGGCAAGCTTGGCCTCCTCTGAATTCCCCATCACAGAGAGGAGAGGGAGAATGTGTGTCCAGATTGAATCTTCCATTTCATCCCCAAGCCTATGCTGAAGTATTGATAGGTGCTATGAACACACCCATTTTACAGACTGTGAAATTGAGAAGTCGAGTTATGTAATGTTAGGTAGCTGGGAAGTGGCAGCAGCAAAGGAGACTTCACAGCTACATTTGTCAAACCCTGCCTTATACGGTTAAAGTTTCCTGTGGTTAGGACCTGGGCCTTGGCTTTTTGGTTTCTAAATCTTCATCCCCCAGGACTCATCACAAGGCTGGATACATATTTAATGCATAGTGATGTTCTGTGGACAGGTTTATATGTAGGTAAGAAATTTAGTTTAAAAAAGTGTGTTTTCCCTTATCTGGTACCAGGTACCAGGTAACAGGTGGAAGAATGCAAATTAATGGGAAATTATTTCTGGATGATTTTTTGTTTGGTACAGTCTGTGTCTCCTCATTCTTCCATTAGTGAGAATATTAAGAGGTGAATATTCTTTTAAGGGGTTTAAAGATTAACTCTAGTGTTAATTTCTTATAATTGTTTTATGAGACAAATGTGAAAACCAGTATTGGCTAAATTCTCCTTTAACAGGGAAAGCTTTTTTTTTTTTTTGTGGTACGCGGGCCTCTCACTGCCGTGGCCTCTCCCGCTGCGGAGCACAGGCTCCGGACGCGCAGGCTCAGCGGCCATGGCTCACGGGCCCAGCCGCTCCGCGGCATGTGGGATCCTCCCGGACCGGGGCACGAACCCGTGTACCCTGCATCGGCAGGCGGACTCTCAACCACTGCGCCACCAGGGAAGCCCAGGGGGAAAGTATTTGAGGAAAAAGATTCAAACAAAATGGCAACAGATCTGGGATCAGGAATCATATTTCCCACACTTTTGACTTCTAAATGGTCACTCCAACACTCTGACCCTTACACAAAATTTTGTCAAGCCAAGAAAAATCTCTTACCAGGCAAAACATACGAAATACCAAACATGAGGCTGATGTGCACTGGGAAGAAGAAAAACATGTTAGACAAGCAACAACACTTTCACCAGGTTCAATTTACGATTGCTACTCTGAGTCTGGGATTCTTCCTCACAGATGTATTTATATTGGATTGAGACTTTTCTTGCGCTAAAGAAAAAAAGCTCAAGTAAACGGTTCTTTTTTTGCGGTACGCGGGCCTCTCACTGTTGTGGCCTCTCCCGTTGCGGAGCACAGGCTCCGGATGCGCAGGCTCAGCGGCCATGGCTCACGGGCCCAGCCGCTCTGTGGCATGTGAGATCTTCCCGGACCGAGGCACGAACCCGTGTCCCTTACATCGGCAGGCGGACTCTCAACCACTGCGCCACCAGGGAAGCCCAAGTAAACGGTTCTTAGAGAGCTGACTTTGGTATCAGCAGCTGATACCTAAGCTGATGTCTAAGGATGTTTCGTCCTCACCGGATCCAAAGTAAGATGTTTGGGAGCTGATCCTAGTCATGAGGGTTGGCTGGTTGAGGGACTGTCCTGAGAAGCAGTCATCTGTCTGGAACAATTCTCAGAATATGAATAAGCATGTTGCTAATTAAAGGATTTCTAAGGTAAAGATATTTACCAGGGTTGGTGGAAGAAGAAAGGTCTTGGCGATGGGAAGCGGGGATTCTCATTTGTTTCCTGGATGTCACCACAACTTGGCGAGTCGGGGAGTGGGTTAGGGGCATTTTTAGTAGGTGGGGGAACAAGGCTGTCATATACTCTCCAATGCATGGCACTTGTCTGGGGAGAAGTGACCAACTCATGGCTACCTTACTGATAAACTATGGAACAGATGACACAGTGATACTGAAATAGAATCAAAAGAATGGTAAAGAAAAGGCACACATGAATAGGGCTATGGAAAAAGAAATCAATAATAAATGAAGTGTGGAAACCAAAGTTCAGGGATGACTTTTTGATTTTGTGTTGAGGAGGGAGATAAGGCGTCTGGCCTCTTTCCAAAGTAGGAATAGAGTGATAAACTCCACCCTGGATTAGAATGAGGGTATTAAGGGAAATTACTCTTCAAATTACAGTGAGGCTAACCCCGTTCATTATTGAGCCTTAAGTTAATTATTATTTGTTTGTTTTCCTAAAACAACAGTAGGGCAGAAACCCATTGTGAATCAAACCATTAACGTTTGTTTCCTATCTACGTTCCAATTGGCTCTTTTTTTTTTTAACATCTTTATTGGGGTATAATTGCTTTACAGTGGTGTGTTAGTTTCTGCTTTATAACAAAGTGAATCAGTTATACATACACATATGTTCCCATATCTCTTCCCTCTTGCATCTCCCTCCCTCCCACCCTCCCTATCCCACCCCTCCAGGCGGTCACAAAGCACCGAGCTGATATCCCTGTGCTATGCGGCTGGTCACAAAGCACCGAGCTGATATCCCTGTGCTATGCGGCTGCGCAGCTGATACTGGATCCTCAAGGCAGGGAAATCAATTGGCTACTCCCTAACAGGGTCCCTGGCAATGGAGCTATGAGAAAAGTAACACTTACCCATGGGATACAAATTAAGTGGTCCAACCGCTGAGACATTCTGGCTCAAAACCATCTTTGTTATTTTATATGTCCTTTCTTTACTTTCACATCTGAAAAGCAATCAATATTAGGTGATCAAAATTCTGAAGTGTCTCATTAAACTGCAAAGATAACGGGCAAAGACAAGACAATGAAAGATCAGCAGGAGATTCCTGATTCCAGGCCCTTCTGGGAGCTGGACCATTTACCCCATTACAGGAGCAGCTTTACCTCAGCTTCTGGGACCAATTCCCTACCTAGGCAGGTAGAAATTTTAAATTTAACTTTTGAACAGATAACATAGTCATTTGGTTCCAAAATTTTAAATATACAAAAAAGTAAATAGTGAAAAGTCTTGCTTCCTTCAGAAAACTATTTTTATTTGTTTTTTTGGTGAGTTCTTCAGAATATCTTCATGCATAAGCAAAAACAAACATGTACTCTTATCCCCCCCCAGCCCTTTTTTTTTTTACACAGAGATAGCATATACATTCCCTGTCCAATTCCTGCTTTTTCTACTTAAAAATATATTGGGGAGATCTTTCTACATCAGCACCAAAGAGAATTTCCTTGTGTTTTTAAATAGTTGCATAGTCTGCTCTATGGACATACCATGATTTATATAATCAGTCCCCACGACGAACATCTGAGTGGCTGCCAACTGTTTCTGCAATGGATAATCTTGGAAATGCCTTATTCTGCACATGTCAAGTCTAAGTGTGAGAAAGATTCCAGAAGTAGGATTGCTAGGCCAGAGGGTGTATCAGTCAGGGTCCCAGCAGGAAACAGCACATTCAAGTTAGGATAATTTGAGGAAGATTTTAATCAAGGGACTATTTACAAATGTGTGAGCCAGATGCAGGCCAACCATAAGGAGGAGTGTAGTATCTGAAACTAACAACAGCAGGGGTTCTTATCATCCTGGGCTTGAGGCGCAGGGGGAAGATATCAACACTGGAATTTGGAAGGAGAGAATCCTGTGTGAGGAGCTAGGATGTAAGCCGACCCTAGGTGACTGTGCAGCGAGGGGGCTGAGGGATAAACATTCCTCACTGTCTTCTCTTACCTGGGGCTCCCCATTGGCTGAACCCAATCAGAAGTCACAGGACAAGGCTGCGGGCAGCTGTACCCATACAAGACAGGATCCCAGGGCACAGGAAAGGGTGGGCAAGGTGGAGGCTGGGTTTGCAGGGGCAGACAGAAGAGACCTGGCACAAAGGGGCCGTTTGTAATTTTTCCTGCTTTTTTTTGGCCGCACGGCGTGTGGCTTGTGGGATCTTAGTTCCCCGACCAGGAATCGAACCCGTGCCCTCTGCAATGAAAGCGCAGAGTCCTAACCACTGGACCACCAGGGAAGTCCCTGCATTTGTAATTTTGATCTAAACAGTCACACTCTCGCCACTTGTGGCTGTAACAATGTATACAACTGCCTGCGACGTGCGAGAATTTCTGCTTCCCCACAAAGGAAGTGCTTGTGGGGATGGGTAGTGATTATGATCGTGATAACCATCAAGCTCTTGGATTTCTAAAAATTAAATTCATAAATGCAAAGTTGTTTTCGGACTAATATTCATTTTGTATTTCTTATTCTGGGTAAGATTGAGCATGTTTTCATAGATGGAAGAGCTATTTCCTTTCTTGTTATCTGTCTGTATCTTTGCCCATTTTTCTATTGAGCTGTTGCTTTTGTTTCTTATTGGTTCGAAGGAGCTTTTAAAGTATGAGGGAAACTGGCCCTTTGTGATATGAATCATGTCTTTTTTAATTTTTCTCTGCCGTTGTCACTTTTCTCTGTCACTTGTCCTTTGATTTGCCTGTGCTATCTGTGTTTTTTTAATTATTTTTTTTATTTTTTATTTTTATCTGTGTTTTTTAAACCATGCAGAAACTTCTGGGTTCTATGCTTTCAGATTTAAAGGTAGTTTCTTTCTTAGCACCTGCATTTTGAGTTACAGCTAGAAAGTCTTCCTCCCTCCAAGGTGAGAAAGGAATTCTTCAAACATTTTAAGGAACCCCCAATCGGTCTCATTCCTTCTCTCCCTCGGAGCTTTTGTCTCCCTCCATCCAAACAACTGGGTGTTCTTCAGTCCCCCAAAACACGGAGGCAGCATCAAGCCCCGAGTCAAAATGAAAACGGGAGCATGCCTTGAAGTAGCAAACTCAAGAAGCAAACCAGACTCAGGAAGGTAGCAAGGAGGAAGAGAGGGTCCCCCCAGGCACACAGCCAGCTCAAGAAGCACTCTCTCATGCACAGGATACTCAGGGCCAGTGCCACTCCCCACAGGTGCACACATGCACTTGCACCTGAAGGATGCTGGGAACCCTCTCCTGTTGCCACCCAGCACACCAGCCTGGGATGGGCTTGGGAAAATCAAACCCTGAGTCTCCCCTTTCCAAGGATCTGCTATCCCAATCCACGGCGTGCTGGTGACGCTGAAGTGTCTTTAAACCTCTGCTCCTTGCCACGCTATGTACCTGAATCAAGGCTGACCTAGAAACTTCACCCGCGATGGACCAGCTAGCCACGCCCTGGGTGAGGCGGGCCGGGGGCAGCTTCCAGTCTGCCTGGCCTACCCTCCCTGTACACATGCCAGGTGGGCATCAGTGCAACATGGGAGTCTCCCACTGGATGCAACCCAGCTGCTGCCCCCATGAAGAGTGTCAACAGTCAAGGGGTGTAGAGAGAGAGGCCAGGCAGGGTCCCCATCCTGCAGAGAAGGGGCGAGTAAGACCCAAGTGTGAACTGAGACTCCAAGCCTGCCGTGTGTTCCATTGTCCCACCAGATTTCACTAACAAAACACAAGTTCAAAGATAAAATGATTAAGAATTTCAAGACAACCACAGGAGAGCAACCAACCAAGTGTGGGACTCTTCTGCATGCAGGGTCCCTGGGGACTGAAGCCGGCCCCGGCTACAGTGATGAGAGTAACGAGAGCTTCAGGAAGCCTGATCTGGTTGGAGTCCGGGAGAGTTTTAAGGAGCTTCATGAACAAATCCAGGCAGGATGCCAAGATGGGAAATTAGATTTTCCAAGCAAGCAAGCATCTAGTACCAGAAGCCTAACTGGAAGTGGAGTATGAGTCACCAGGAACAAAGAGAGGGAAGAAGCGTCCCCTGGCCCAGCACAGGAGAGCGGGACTTCTAATTGTGTAGTAGTGTGTGTGTACTTCTCAGCTGCTGAAGACAGGGAAGGTTTTGCAGATGCAGAACAAAGGCAAAGATGTGATACCATCAGAACAAAACAGAGGAACCAGAGGCCACAAGACAGATGACCAGATAACAAGGGAGTCACACGCAAAGTGGCATTCTACAACCCTGGTGCGCCCATCACCTAGGGAACGTCCACAACCGTGCAGGCCCTCTGCTGAGGAGTAATGATGGGAGATGACATCACATCTCACAAAGATATCTCTGTGGATGTTCTGAATGGATACAATATTATGGGATAAGTTGAGGTGCCTGGATAGCTCATGGGTGGTAGGTGGCAATTTTGACTTGGAATCTTTTGGATTTCTCTAGAAAACCCTGGGTGAGCCCTGATAGCGTGATAGTCAGGAGGACTTTTTAATGTGTTTCTAGCTTGAATTCAAGTCTGCTGTTTTGTGTGCTATGAAATGCCAGTTGTAATTCGGTGATTCTTCACTTGGATTAAATGCTCACGTTCGCACTTAGATCTGGCTTTTGCACAATATAAAGGAGAATGGTAAGATTCATGCTAGTAATTAAATTTATGTTTTTTTACTTAGAATGATCTTCAATAGAAAAAAAAAAGGGCAAGTTGAGAGACACCATTGAAGAAAAGAAAAGGCTTTATATTTTAGTACCTTTGGTGGTACTTTTTCCTACTTTTTAATCCAATGGGGCCCTGCATTTTAATTTTGCTCTGGGCCTTGCAAATTCTGCCACCAGCCCAGCCTGTAGTTCACTGCTGCCTGACAAGAAACCAAAGGCTTAGGTTGAATTCAAGGCTGCCACCAGCCTTTCCAGTGTTCCCACTACTGTCCCACACAAGTGCGGAGCTCTGGGCAACACATCACATCCTGCTCTGACACTCCCATCACCACCCACCCTGCCCCCTCCCCGACTCCCCACCCAGCAATCCTTGCCATTGCTACCCAAACAAAAAACTATCCATTTTTAAGGCCCAGCTCAAAGAGATGCAACCTGGGCAAAGTGATTCTTCTCTGAATTTCAACTCCTCCTAAACAGACAGACTGACAGACAGACAACCCTCACGGAACTTGCTGCCCCCTATTCTCCTGGTAGAGAGCAGAATGCTGTCTTTTCTCCTACCCAGCACAGCCTGACACCTTGCGCATCTTTGCTAATCAACGAATGAATGGATTCAGAAAGACTCTACAAATAAAACTACATACTTTTTCTCCTGGAAATTAAAAAAATATATACAAAAAAAAGCACAAAGAAGAAAGTAACAATCATCTTTATTTTTACCACCAAGCACCAACCACTGTTTACATCTTGGCATATTTGTTTCTAGTTTATGTCTTGTTTTGGTAAAAATACTTCTACACGCTCATTAAAAAAATTAAAAATAATGTATAAAAGTAAAATCCCAGCATCCTGATATTTCCGTCATTAACATTAGGTGAACAGAATCCCAGAGATCTTTCTGTGCATAGACACACACAACACACACACTCACACAGATGTTTCTGTCTAAATTTAATTTTACTTGGAAAAAAAACTGAAGCAAAGGCTGAAGAAATTGTTGACATTTAAATGATTTCCATAAGAAAGAATAGCTCCCTAAAATATCCCTCTAAAGTTAAAGAAAATTACAAGACATCAGGAAGTTGGAATATGATCTGTTCACAGCATTCTAACTGTTCGACCCTGTTTACCGATCCATGCTTTCAAACAAGAGAACTAGGACTTCCTTGGTGGTGCAGTGGTTGGGAATCAAGTCATTTCCTGCGACAAACTGGTCAAACCTTATCACAGATGCGCATATTACTAGGAAACATTTTCTTTAGAGCAAATTTTGCTATGGCCTCGCTTCCACCCCTTTCGTCTCCAAGCCAGAACGGTAGGGTGGAGGATACTTTGAAACCTGTCCAAGATGCGGGACAAGCGACGGAAGGCCTGTTGGTCTCAGCTGCCGGGGTCAGTTAGTGTGACACCTGGGGGAGGGGGGGACTCCAGCCCTCTCGCTGGCTGCACCTGCCTCTGCACCTCCCACCTCGTTCTGCTCAGTTTCTAAGACTTTTTGCCAAACAAAAGCAAGGAAATCAAACAAACATTAAAAGAGAGAGACAGACAGACAGACGGGACATCTAGAGTTTCTCAAAGCCATCGCTAGCCACACAAGTGGGTTGATGGATCCACTTAACTGGGTTTAACTGGTTTCTTTGGTCAGGGTTGAAACGCGAGCGTCGACTCGCACCCGGTTCCTCATTCCTTCCCGACCCTGGAGGGGGACCCACTCCTGTCCCCGCGACGCTGTCCCATCGCCCCGTCCTCCCTCCAGCTTCCAAGCGATGGGTCTGAAAGGACATAGGACACTCCAGCTCCGGTGGCCCCTCCGTGACCCTCTTTCGCCCGGGAACAAGGGATGGCTAAAGTCAGTTTGCTCTCTTGGAGGGCGGGCGGAAAACCCCGGACCGGAGACCCGAGCCGGTAACCCAGTTTTGCAAGGCGCTGTGGATCGAGAGGCGTTTTACTTTTGAACTTGACAGTGGCTCTCATCTCGCAGCGGCCCGCACCCTCGGTGTGGCAGGTGGTGGAGCCGCAGGGCTGGGCGCGTGAAGACGGCTCCCAGGAGGGGCGATGAGCGCGGGACGGCCGGCCAGGGCCGAGGGCAGCGCGGCCGCGGGGGCCCGTCAGTGGACCCACTCCAACGACCCGCCGGGTCGCGGGGGGCGTGGGCAGGGGGCGGCCCCCGGGAGAAGGGCGGCGGCAAACCCCCCCCACCCCGGCCCGGAGCGTCCGCGGGAGCCCGTGGAGTCCGGGTCGCGGGAGAGACAGGAATCTGGAGAGGGATTCCGGGAAGCGGCTGCGGGGAGGCGGCGTTCGCCCGGTCCCCGCCCCCTGTCCCCGCAACCCCAGTAGCCCCACGTTACCTCGGCTGTTTGGCCTCGCCGTTGTCCTCGGGGTGCCAGCCTCGGGCGCACCCTCCGCAGCCGGGTTCCGCCGCCACCCCTCCGCACCCCTGGTCGGCGCTCGCGACCAGGATGCGCGCGGCTGGCGGCCCCTTCGGCAGTGACGGCTGTCTTAGGGCAAAGGCGAGAGAAGTGGCGGGGTGGTGGCCCTCAACCTCCGCTCCGAGGATGCCCCGGATAGGTCCTCGGGGTCTCCTCCCCGAGAGGTGGAGCAAGTCTTTAGTGCGGGTGCGCGCGCCGAGCGCCGGCCCTCAGCGGAGAGCTCGGGCCTGGGCGGGGCGGGGACACCAGATCTTGGTAATTTACCCAGATTTATTAAGACGGCGCCTTCCGCCGCCACCCCTCTTCCATGTAAGCTCCACTGGGGAAGAGAGAAAGGATTTTGGCTGTTGTGTTTACAGCAGGGCTGGAACAGTGCCTGTCACTTAGAACAATACCTAGCACATTTAATCTACTCAATAAAAATGTGTTGAATGAATGAATGAACGAAAGACCGAACGGGCTCTCTCCTGCACCACCCCCTCTTTACTAGTTCCACAAATTGCTCAGATCATAATTCTCCAATCAATAAAACAGGGATAAAAATAGCTATCATTGAGTCGTAAAAGCTTGGTATAGTTCCAGGCTCAAGCAGAACTTTGTAAACATGGTAAATATTGGCTCCCTCCCCCTTCTCTGTGGGTCTTTCCTCTGTGCTCCTGGTTGCCCAGTCCTCCACCGATCAACGTCTTTGGGGGTAGGTAGAGAGGAAAGACAGTCCCTCATTATTTTGTTTACCTATCATTTATATCCCATCAATTTCCAAAATAGAACATGAGGTAGCTTTCAGTAAAATGTATGTAAATTAAAAAAAATTATTTCTATTTATGTTTTGGCCGTGCCCAGGGGCATGCCAGATGCAGGATGCTAGTACCCCAACCATGGTTGGAACCGTGCCCCCAGAAATGGAAGGGCGGATTCGTAACCACTGGACCACCAGGGAAGTCCCAAATGTATGTATATTTTAAACATTAAAGCTACTGAAATATACATGTTAAAATCCTTTTGAAGGAGGAGAAGAAAAAGAAAAAACAACTAACCATCTAGGTAATTCTAATTGAGAATTCAGTTTCACTTTCAGTTTTCTGACAAGGAAGGAGTACGATGTTTCACACTTTTTGTAGATGTTAAAAAAGAACATTTTCATCCATCAAATTAACTAACATTGGCTGTTGCCCCTCTGTACGAAAGGCACAGAGACGATCATAAGAGGATGTCAGACTGCTTCACATGTTACTCTTACTCTTCATTCAAGAGGAACAGAGTTCCCACCAGTCCCATAAAACTCGACGGGAACTCATCATGGGGCCTTGGTCCTCACAAAAGACATTCAACATTGAAAATATTTTCAGCAGCAGTTTAAGAGAAGATGCAGAAATAGTCTCTGAAAGTGGAGGAAAGCCAATTCAAAATTGCATGTACCTTTTTATAAAGACATATGCATATATTACAACTAAAAATATATCAAAATGTTAACTATGACTAATTGAAGATTGGGTGATTATATATGATTTTTTTTTCTTTTTACTTTCTAAATTTTCTAGGTAAAAATTTTTACTTATACAATCAGGGAAAAGATTCGCTTAAAAACAAATGCTGGACTTCCCTGGTGGCACAGAGGTTAAGAATCCACCTGCCAATGCAGGGGACATGGGTTCGAGCCCTGGTCCAGGAAGATCCCACATGCCGTGGAGCAACTAAGCCCGTGTGCCACAACTACTGAGCCTGTGCTCTAGAGCCTGTGTGCCACGACTACTGAGCCCACGTGCCACAACTACTGAAGCCCACGCGCCTAGAGCCCATGCTCCGCAGCAAGAGAAACCACCGCAATGAGAAGCCTGTGCACCTCAACAAAGAGTAGTCCCCGCTCTCTGCAACTAGAGAAAACCCACGTGCAGCAACAAAGACCCAACAGCCGAAAGTTAAAAAACAAAAAACAAATGCTGTCCACCCCAAGATGTAAAGAGTTTAGTATTTGTCACTCCACTCTTCACAAGAGAAAAGCTGAACCAATGGTAAAATCAACTCTTCTTAGATTCATTAGTGAATGGAGGTCACAGGGCAAACTGCAGCCCCCAAAACTGGAGAGACGGGCAAATGCAGAGAATCAGTAGACAAGGAGCAGAAGCCTCAGAAAAGAGGAAAACAAACCGTGCTTGACTTACTGCTGGAGGCTGAGCATGGACTAGCTTGAGAGTTAAAAACTCCTGGGGCGGAGCGGGGGGGGCCTTCCCTGATGGCGCAGTGGTTGAGAGTCTGCCTGCCGATGCAGGACACAAGGGTTCGTGCCCCGGTCCGATTAGATGCCGCGGAGCGGCTGGGCCCGTGAACCATGGCCGCTGAGCCTGCCGCGTCCGGAGCCTGTGCTCCGCAACAAACTCCTGGGGAAAAATCGGCCCGGATGTAGAGCTGGAGGTGCCTGAAGGCGTGTCTGACGCGGAGCTGGGCGGGGTAGAGAGTAGGGGACAGTAGTCGTGGGGATGGTGGGAGAAGGAGGAGGGGTCGGCAATCACTTAAAATTGGTGCCGAAGCAGGACCAGAAGTCTAAATTCCAGGAGGATGAGAGAGTGCTGTGCTTCCGTGGACCTCTTCTTTATGAAGCAAAGTGTGTATAGGTGGCCATAAAGGATAAACAGGTGAAATACTTTATACATTACAGTGGTTGGAATAAAAATCGAGATGAATGGGTTCTAGAAAGCGGAGTACTCAAATACGCGGACACCAATTTGCAGAAACAACAAGAACTTCAAAAAGCCAGCCAGGAGCAGTATGCAGAGGGGAAGATGAGAGGGGCTGCCCCTGGAAAGGAGACTTCTGGTCTGCAACAGAAAAGTGTTGACGTGAAAACAAAAAAGAACCAACAGAAAACACCTGGAAATGGAGATGGTGGTAGCACCAGTGAGACACCTCAGCCTCCTACAAGAAAAGGGCCCGAGGAGACCCGATTGTTGAAAATGAGGAAATATTCATGAACAGAGTTGAAGTTAAAGATTCCTGAAGAACTAAAACCATGGCTTGTTGATGACTAGGACTTAATTACCCGGCAAAAACAGCTCTTTTATCTTCCTGCCAAGAAGAATGTGGATTCCATTCTAGAGGATTTTGCAAATTATGAGAAATCTCGAGGAAACACAGATAATGAGTATGCTGTTAATGAAACTGTGGCAGGGATAAAGGAATACTTCAGTGCAATGTTGGGCACCCAGCTACTCTACAAATTTGAGAGACCACAGTATGCTGAAGTTCTCGCAGATCACCCCGATATGCCTACGTCCCCGGTGTACAGAGTGCCACAACGACTGAGATTATTTGTACGTATCGGAGCAATGTTGGCCTATACACCTCTGGATGAGAAGAGCCTTGCTTTATTACTGAATTATCTTCATGATTTCCTAAAATACCTGGCAAAGAACTCTGCAACTTTGTTTAGTGCCAGTGATTATGAAGTGGCTTCTGAATACCATCGGAAAGCTGTGTGAGGTGCTTATACTCACTCATGTTTGGATCTCTGTAAACACATCTTTGTTTCTTAGTGCTTCTCTTGTACAAATGATGCACTTTGGAAATGTTAGTGTATAACAGAAGTGATGTTTGTTTTCTGTTTGATTTTAAACAGCAAATAAAAGGGGTTACAGCTCCTTTTTTCTTTTCTTTTCTTTTCTTTTTTTTCATTTCAAAGTTGCTACCAGTGTATTCAATGATGGACAACAGAGAGACGTACTGTAGAGTGTTTTATTGCTTAGTTGACAAAGCTGCTTTTGAATGCTGGTGGTTTTATTCCTTTGACACTACACACTTTATAATATGTTAATACTATATGACAAAATGCTAGTTCCTAGTGCCTAAGGTTCCATTCAGTGTGTATAACTGAACACACTCACCCGTTTGTGCTCCCCCTTTTTTTTATGGTGCTGACAGTAAAGACCCCGTCCTTTGCAAGTCCTCTATGTTGTTCCTTAGGCATTTTATCTTTGCTCAGATTGTCAGAGAATGGTGGCTTGTTTCATGGTTTTCGTATTTGTGTCTAATGCATATTTTAACATGATAGACGCCATACATTGTGTAGCTACCGTTTTCTGGAAAAGTCAATCTTTTAGAAATTGTTTTTCAGAACTTCAATAAATTTTTTCTCTAAATTTCAACAAAACAAAACAAAACAAACCTCCAAAACTCCTGGGGACCCAGTCTTAGCGGGGTCCTCCTACTTTCTTGAGCTTTTCACACAGGTGCCCCACCAGAAGGAAGAGAAAGTTTCCTTCCCGTTTAGACACAGGGAGGTGAAAAGTAACCATCTGAAATACACTGAGAGTGTTCTGTTTAAAAAAAAAAAAAGCCTGCTTTCAAGGGGAATTATTTTAGCCAAGTCTACTGTGACCAGCTCAAAGGCGATTAGACAACTCAGCCCCCTCAAACCTTCCTGTCATAAGGGGAGGAAAAACAGAGGGACAGAGGCTAAGAAACTCCTCTGAGGGTCACAGTCCAGAGGTTCAGGCTCAATAAAAAGAAAAAACAAACCCTGAAATTTAATTTTAAGATTATTGAATGTTTCCCCTCCACAAAGCCTTCCACCACACCCATACGACTCCAGTGGATTACAACTCTATTTAAGAGAGAGTTTCTAGGGAAACCCAGAGACAACAAGGAAGACAAAAAATGAAGATACTGGAAGAAATCAAAGCCTCTGACACCTACAGGGGCAGCAAGCATTAAACACAGACTAACTCTTAACCAGATAAACATGACACTTCATAGTAAAAGATTATTTATCTCAGCTCCTGTTATCTGATACATCATGTCCAACTTTCTACAAAAAGTATAAGGGAAAAAAAAAGCAGGAAAAACACAATCTGAAGAGACAGAGTAAGCTTGAGAACAAGATTAAGATGTGACAGAGAATCTGGAATTATCAGACTAGGTGAATACATGACATCATGACTTCATCAAAACCCATAGAACTGCATAACATAAACAGTGAATTCTATTCTACAAACTATTACAGCATTTGGTTAATATTAACGTATCAATATTGGCTCATCAATTGTTACAGAGGTACCACACTAGCCTAAGATGTTGAAGATAGGGGAAACTGTGTGGAGGAGAAGAGGCCTGTGGGAAATCTCTGTACTATATGCTCTATTTTCCCATAAC